TTTGAGAAGATTAAGGTTTTTTTAAATAGGCTTATTTCAATATGAGTGTCATTTTTTCTTGCAAAGTGCGTTTATATAGTCACTTGATAATTGATAGAATTTTTCTTATTTTCCTTTAAAGATTTTTAACCGCATGAAGATACTAATAGCAAAGTGAGTATACATATGTGTAACATCTCCCTATATCAAACTGTAATCCCACCACACATCTAATATAAGAAGGAGTTAACTTAATCACTACATCAATTTACCAAACTAAAATTAAGGAAAATTATTTTTACATGCTTGGGAACCCAAGACTTTTTCTTTTAAATTCATTTGAAAGTCATCACACATTAGATAGTACACAGCGGAAGACATTTACCTAGCATTCATTACTCACAATATAAAATCCAAGTCAAGAAAATCCATACAGAATAAGGGCGATGCTCCGCTATGTGCACCACATGCGTTGTGGCATGTGGCATAGAGCCATGGCCTCCCTAGCTATGCCGTGCATCACCACATGTTACACTATGTGTCATAGCGCACATGATAAAAATTTACTATCATATAGCAGTTCGCTAAGGTGAACTTTTGACGTGCACCATTTTCACATATGACGTTCAATCAAAGTAATTTAAGTGTTCACATGAAACTTATTTCATAAGCTAACTAATGATATAGATTTAGACACAATTCAATGGTTCAATCTAAATTTGGACATTCAAAGTATAAAAAGCTACTTTTTTTAAAAAACTCGAGCACCAAAGTGTTCAAATCGCGTTCTTTGTCTCATTAAGTCGTTTTGGGTATCAAGTCCAAAGATATCATATACACCTGATTGACCAACAATCATAAAAAAACATACATCTATAACAAAATTTGGCCATCAAATTGCCTTTCTCACATCAAAAGGGTCGTTCTCACATTTGCAATATAATTCATGTTCTTGGTCGATTCTTTACACATTCACTATTAAGTCATCACTACAAACATATTCACACAACACAATCCTAAACCCAAGCCACTTTTCACCACGATTGGGTTAGGATTCATATATTACCACCTAGTCACTATTCATATACACATTCACAACAAAATTTTAGTTAGATCTTAACCCATATCACACAATTTCACTACATGTATCGTATTCTCACACGCATTGGACTAAGATTCTCAAAATCATTACTTATCACAATCTAAAACATGTATATGATTTTCTATGCCAACTCATTCATATACGAATGTACAACAAAATAAGTTTATTACACAAGTTCTTGCTTTCCACGACAACAACACTATGATGCTGGCCTAACGTCTTTCCTTTTTTCTAACTCACTACTTTGACCTGTAATAATATAACCATGGGGTGAGATAATAATCTCAATAATAAAACAACTTGCTACTATTAACTACCACAAGTAACTATAAGCAAGTATTGCATATAAGTAAACAAAATAAACATATAACCACTAGCATGATTAACTACCATTCGAACATCTGAGTCACCTTGACCTAAACCATAGACTCTTTTTCGGCCAATACATACTCGTTGACCCAAGCACACTTTCAGTGGTAGAATTATCCTACTAAAGGAGTTATGTAATCACCCTACAAGCAATAATCGGGGTATCATTACTCTAATACCACACCTCAATAGGTACAAAGGAGATGAAATTCTCCACACCACACCCCATCGGGTACTAAGAAGATTAATTTTATATGGACTTCTCACTACTTCTCCTTATGAGTGAACTCCCACCCTTTATGATCATGCTCACATGCCAATCACTTATTCACATTCAAATCTATATATAGTTACATAACCATATATTTCTACAAAAAATCCATTTCTTGAAAACCCTTTTTCATGCATAAATATTTGTTTTTCTTAAAACATGCATAATCCAAAGCAATTTCATGTAATAATTATAATATTTACAAAAAGTTATAATAAATAATTACATAGAAAAAATTATTCAGTTACCTCAACTCTTCTATTACAAGAAAGGGTTACTTGTGAATTTCTTATATGCTCTTGGTCACCATACTATCTCTCCTTCTCAAGATACACGCGTAATATAATAATTTATACATAATTAGCACTCTTAGTCAATTAGTTAAATTGACTACAAGTACTAATTATTACTAAAACCATAATTAGCTATTATTTTCCTTTCACTTGATAAATCTAGATTCCTTGCAACTCAATCATATCTTTCTATCACTTCAATCAATCCCAACACACCTTACTCAAATCTTCCATTCCTTTTTACCACTAATTTAGGGCTTAATTATGGTTACAACTCCAAAGCTTTATCATTTAACTTAAAATTAGTCGCAAAACTTTAATTTGATTCCCTAGAAACAAATTCCTTAAAAATTTTCAATTTAATTTCTCTATAACTTATACTAAAAGAAATTAATATAGAATTAAAGGTAAAGATAATACGAAACTTACCCGGTAAGCTACTAGTCAGAAATATCTCTCCAGCTACCACAACTTGATGCCCTAACAGAGAATTGTCTTCTCCTCTTCTCCTTTCATACTTCCTCTTTCTTTTCCTTGTTTTTCACAAGTTGACCATGTCTTTATCAACTAATTTTTGTGCTGTGCGCCATGGCGCATGCAGCTTGAGCCGTAATGTATGGCATAATAAGAAAAATTCTCACTACGCTTACCCGCTTTACTTTGAAACACGATCTTTTTGCTCGTATCTACTCATCCAACTTTTCAAAGAATCAAAACATCAAATGGTCACCCAAAATCATAATCACTCACTAATTGCTAATTTACCGATAGTTAGCAATTAGTTTCAGAATTAGAAAATAAGAATGTTACAATTTGCATCTTCAAATCATTAATTATTAAAAACTAATGAAACTACAAGCATCTTTTGAATTATATAATTTTAGTTCACTTGCTCTTGATTATGTTTATTATGAATTTATTATGACATTTGATCATTAATTTTTGCAAAAAAATATATAACAAAGTTACTTTATTTTGCATAAGAGTACTAATAACAATAACCTTTTATTGTTAAATATATATAATAGCATTTTTTAAATTGTAGACAATGTTTAACTAATTATAGACAATTTCCCTTAAAAAAATATCATAGAAATTATAGACAATATTTAACTAATTGTAACATTTTTTTAACTATCAATTTATAGATAACTAAATTTAGGAAAGAGAAAAAAAATTAGATAAATTTATAAAGATATATAAAATAAATATAATAAAGCTTTGTTCAATTTGGTTCAAGTTTTAAGAAACAAACTTGAACCAAACTAAACTAATTGGTTTTGCCAAAATAAAAACCAAACCAAACCAAACCTTATTTATAATCAATTTTGATTTGTTCATGTCAGTTTGGTTCTATTCGATTTGGTGTTATTAGTTTGGATCTATTTTGAACACCTTTAAAGTTAAGGCTCCCCTTGTGGAACACATAGTTCCGCCCCTGACCATAAATGCACCAACGTGTAAGGGTGTGTTTGGATTTTGGTTAAATAGAATTGATTAGGCAAAAAATTAGTTAATGTAATTTATCATGTAAGTATAATTAATTTATAAAATTGATTTTAAGTATAACAGAAAAGTAGAATTAAAAATAAGATAAAATTATGGTTTAGTGAAAATATATCCAAACGCTCTTGTTGCATACCAAATTCAATTATAAATATGAAATGATAATTTTCTTAAAAACATACAAACACTCATCATACATATCATAATTAATTACAAGCCAAAAATCTTAGTTCTTAAAATTATTCAAACACATCTATTCATGCCAAAATTAATTATGAATACAAAATTATGGTTATCTTATAAGCTATAATTTTGGATATTTGTTAGAAAATATGAGTTCATAATTAATTTTAGCATATAATAGAAGCGCTTGTATATATTTTTACAAAACTATAATTTTGGCATTTAAAGTTGATAAACTGGTTTTCCAAATATGAGTTAATTAATGAATGAGAAGCATTTGAATAACTAAGTAAAATATCCATATGATTTGAACGTTAAGAACTGTCCAAGCATCAGAATATTTTGTAATATAATTTTAGTGGGGTTTGTCTTGATCTTGTTTGTCCACATGAATAAGCTATAATGTTCCTGACATTTGGCACGGTATTTCTAGATATAAAAACGTATGAAATCAAATATGAAATGTAATGTACCCAGAAAAAAAAAGGTATGAAATGTAACAATTATTTCATATAAAAACATTCTTCCATAGGAATTACAGTTCTGAAAGCTCATAAACTCTGTTTTTTTTGCTATTAAGGCAGGCAGACATAGTTAGAATTCAACACTAGTTGACAAGAATACAACCCAATGCTCTTCGGGACGAACGATTCAAGGCATTTATTCAAATAATTTCCTAATCAACATGCTATGTAGTAGCATTTAGAATCTTTTGAATAATCTTCTATTCCGTCCAAACTCCAAAGTGAGGCCAAAAAAAAAAATAATTTAAATTGTACAGGTTTGATCTTAATCATCTACATTTTTCAGGTTTTTAATTTCAAATTTACTTTAAAGGAAATATAATATGAATAAAGTATTTTTTTTAATTTCAATTGTAAATATTTTGAATTAAAAATACATTAAAAAATCTTGAAATGTCAAACGCATTTGGATGGTACAGATTGCTTCTGGGGAAAGACAAATAAAATTCCTCCCCATGGGACTAATAAATTACAAAGCTAACATCCCTGGCAAGCTTGATAAAACTAAATATCATATTTTTATTATCCGTATTTTTTAATCCATTTTAATCAAAATGCGACAAGTCTATCTTTTTGTTTTGCAGCAAAATGACGCCAAATAATATTCCTTGTCTCATTCTTTTCAGTTTATCTTGCGTCAGTTACATTATAGCGTAAAACCTAGGCAGTATTTATGTCTGCCTACTGTGCTGCAAGGGCTTCAGGTGGACAGATAACTATAAATAACATTTTTGCGACTTTGGTATCATCATCAAAAAGAACGATCTCTTATGTTGAGCCGAATGATTTTGTTTATACCTAAACAAGCAGCTTTGAGCTACGGACCCTCAAGTGGTTTTCTGGGAGGAGCACAGTTTCCAACGCTGTCTCTTACTAATGTTATCATCGCCAATCTTTGTCTTCGTTCTGACAAAACAGACATGACAACAAAAGTACAGCCAATTTAGCAGGAAACAAACGTTGTAGCATGTAGGCATAAATACGGAAGAAAGAAGATGAATATATCATCCCATTTAAAACAAAACAAACCAATCTCCAAAACTTGTTTGTCTTGAAGCTTTAGATGCTTAAGTGGGAAATGGAGCTAGACTCTGTGAAAAGTGAACTGAGCCCAACAAGTCATAGGTCTTACATGAGGGATGGTGGTGAGAGTAACGCTAGTAAGTGTGGCAAAAGGAGACGAAGAGATTCTTCTTTGGCCATCCTAGAAGCCAATGAACAGCCACAGGGTGAGCGATCAACAACCACGACCACCACCACAGTAAAGAGAAGCTCGAGATTTCGGGGGGTTAGCAGGTTTGTTTTATCTTGTTGATGTTCAGAACAATTTCAACTCAGAAAGATAGAAGAGATCAGACTCGTAGTTTCTTAATCATGAAGACTCACGAAATAGTTTTATTAACGATCTATCTAACCATCTGATAAACATCCTAACTTTTCACACTACTGATTGTTTAGTGGTTTGAAGCTAATAATATTTCGGTGTGAAGCAGACATAGGTGGACGGGAAGGTTTGAGGCTCATCTATGGGATAAAGGAACATGGAATCCAACTCAGAAGAAGAAAGGGAAGCAAGGCATGTTGAACACTTGATTTAGTTAATTTTTCATTGGTTTTTTATTCTAGTATTGGTTTTCTTGATTGCTCACTCCTTGTTTTATTGTTTTGTTGTCCTTGGCGAATTTGAGTTTGTTTGCTGTTATGAAACAGTTTATCTTGGTGAGTACTGATTCCAACAGTTTCTTCTTTAAAGACTGAAGAGAATAGAAACTAACATCTTGGGATTTTCTCATGCATGCTTTAACCAGGGGCTTATACTGATGAAGCAGCAGCTGCTAGAGCTTATGATTTAGCTGCCCTAAAGTACTGGGGAACTTCAACTTTCACAAATTTCCCTGTATGTCTATAGTGCATGATCTGTGAAAGAGATTACATTCATATCATCACCATTTGACCGAAATTTCTCAAGCAAGCGCTGATATTTTTGCAGGTTTCAGAGTATGAGAAAGAGATTGAGATCATGAGAACTGTAACAAAAGAAGAATACCTTGCTTCACTAAGAAGGTAAATTTATTTCTGTATAATATGGATTCCTTGCAGTTAGCATGACCGTAGAAAATTCAATTACATTAACAAATTATTTGATGCCGAGTTTTATGTTCTTTCTTCGTTATCATTTTGTAGGACAAGTAGTGGTTTTTCTAGAGGCGTGTCAAAGTACAGAGGAGTAGCAAGGTGAAATAGTTTTGAACTCAAGCCGATAGACTCAACCTTTATGTTTCCTGTAAAGAACTGTTGAGTGCTAAAGGTTATCAGAAAATTGACTGCAGGCATCATCACAATGGAAGATGGGAAGCAAGAATAGGGAGAGTATTTGGCAACAAATACCTCTACCTTGGGACTTACAGTGAGTTTCTCCCTATTGTAAAGAAAAGAAGCGAGCTTCATAAACAATCACATTTTTTAAGTAACTTTCTCTTCAGATTCATGACTGTGGAGGGTTCAACTTTAGATTAATCATATGGTGGCCATGAACTGGATTAGGTTTTACCTAATCTAAGCTTTTGGGGTGATAAATTGACGGTCTTATGTCTTTGTTGGTCAAGAGCTGATATGATATCTGATTGATGTTCTAAATGTATGCATCTGCAGGTACACAAGAAGAGGCTGCTCGTGCATACGACATCGCAGCAATTGAGTACAGAGGCATAAATGCAGTGACTAATTTTGACTTGAGTACATACATCAGATGGCTAAGACCTGGAGGACCTTCTACTTGTTTATTAGAGGGAAGGCCAAGCAGAGATCCTCAGAATATGACAGCCTCAAACCTTGTCCAATCAGAAGGAACCACTGAGGTATCCAACTTCATCTTCCATCCATTCCCAGCAGGTGACTCTGACATCAGTACGAAGAAGCAAGGCAGTACACAGTACATGAGCTCTATAAGTGCTTGCAACACTAGGTCATCTTCCCCAACAGCACTAGGGATTCTCCTGAAATCCTCAGTATTTAGAGAGCTGATGCAGAGGAATCTGGACTCTACTAACGAAGAAGCAGAAGAAAGTGAATTGAAAATCCCACAGGATGACAGTGATGGGGTTGGAATGGCTTTTGATCGTGAAATTGCAAGTGCTTCTTTCTTATGCCCCTCCAGTAGCAGCAGATTTTGCATGGAGTCACCAGAAGAAAGCACGTGGCCATTGTATCATAAAACCACACAATCCCTATGGAATGGTGCTTTGAACTGACTGTATAGGTGTGAGGTTTTTGCTACTCAGTTGAGAGAAAAATCTTCCCTTGGAATACAAGCGGACGCCAAATAATTGATAATTTGTGCATGTTGCGACCTTTTCTGTTCATAAATGGGATTGCTCCTATAACTGTAGAGCGCAAGCACATAATCTCTGTAATTTTTTTTTGCAGATCCTAGGGGGAAAGATAATTAATTTTCTCCTATAAGGCAATAAATGATTGGAGTTGTCCTGCCAGGAAATACTAAGTTGACTTTTTTAGAGAGAGCATTACTAGATAAAGCCAATCTACTAAGACCAAATGATAAAGAAACATATTAGCGTATCATGTATAATTTTAATGAGGTAAAGACATGCTAAAATATGTTTTGTAATTAAATTGGATTGTTTATCTTTTTAAAAATAAATTTATTTATAATGTTTATTTATTTAAAATTCAATTTGTAGATTTGATAAGAAATCATCCAGAATATCATTAATACTTTTAGTTAGTTAAACCACAGAGAGAGAGAGAGAGAGAGAGAGAATATCAAGGATGGGCTACATCGGAGTTTTTTTTTTTGGGGGGGGGCCAAAGCGACATTTAACAGTTGGTAAACATTAATGAATAAATGTTCCCATTGAATTGATTTTCAATGGACAAATAATGAAAATGCTGACTTGATCGCTGGACATTAATTTCAAGTGCGACTAGACTTTACCACAAAAAGTTAAGAATATATATAACTCAAAGCAGGAAATGAAAGTTAACTTTTCTTCAGGGCCCTGCCTTTTTGGTTAAAAGATCATCAAACTAGCGAGGAAGATGACGATGACGATAACGCTGGAAGCAATTTTATCCAAGGAGAGAAACTTGCTTAGACATGGGCGTTTGGCTACCCACAAATTTGTGGTTTATAACAACAAGGAAAAAATAAAAATAAAAAAAGGGTACGTGTTCTGTTATGTACGATACTCACGGAATCACTATTTACTGGAACAAGTATAAGAATTCATGCAGGCTCCATTTATCCAATGGTAGAATGCGAAGCAATTAGAGAATCACAACACCAATAAGAAGTCTTCTGGGGCAAATGGAGCTGAAAATTTCCTAAAGGGAGGAAATTTAAAACGATAGGTCACTATCTGCTGAAGACCTTGTCATCAACACCTGATTGAAGGAGCCTGCAAAATTAAGTGAGGCCAAGTCAGAATAATGGAAACCAGATGTATAAACAGTCATAATAGGAAAAAGAAAAGGAAGCAGCCACTATGAGGTCCCTGGGATCATGTGTATCAGATTTGTAAATCAAGTCGCAACTGTATTTGGGACAAAATATGCTAAAGGAAAGAGTTCTAGGCAGGAGACAGCTTGAGCTTGTCCTTCTACAACCTTATTATTGCATTGCACTAGTTATTCTTGAGGTCTATGTTAGAAATTAGAATTATCTTAGAAGATAGTATTTTCGATTAATTGTGCTCTCTAACATATTTAAACGCTTGTAGAACCAGAAGACCATCACCCCCTTTTCGCTGACTTTTATATCACTCTTGCCCATTTCTTTTCTCACCCAATATCTCTATGGTACTGGTTGAATTCAAAGGCTTTCACCTTACATAATTATACCTTAATATGCGGATAGAAAACACACTACCAAATGATTGACAAGAACCAAGTGATTATTAACAACATATGAGAGGCAAATAATGAACTATAAAGACAATCACTCTCCAACCTCCCCTGTACTGTGGTGGCCCTGGAGAATTGATAGGTAAAAATTTATTCTTCCATGAACAACGGGGTGGGGGAGGAGGAGGGAGAAGCAGAGATTCAATAACCAAAAATGAATTGATCCAAACCTCAACATTGGCCTTCGGTGCTGCTCTAGTTTATCTATACAGTTTTGCATGATTCCATCTGAAGCTGACTGTTCTAGACCTGTAGATAGGGTGCCTGCAATGTCTTTAAGACCCTGCAAATTCAAACAGGGTCACATGAGAAGCAATTTCACATTATAAACAGATCACAGCCGCATCCTGTTTTCCACAAAGAAAAGATAAATAAACAACGAATACAGGACACCAAGAAACCTTCAGACTGGGGCTTCCACCATACGTGAGCAGACTAGGGGACTTTCCAGGAAGTTTCACCTGCTTCTGCTGAATATTTACCAATATTACGTCATATAATCATCTATGTAGGAGAATTCAAGAAATATAACTTTTGGTTGTGCAGTGGAGGGGAAAAAAGTTATGATCTATGATGCATTGTAATTCAAGAAACGTTATTTGAATAAAAGATTTTCAAACTCATCTAGAGTTCTCAGTCACTTTAACATCCACAGCAGAAAGCGAGTGGCAGACTGGTAATTGATTTACGCCAACAAAGAGACATACCTCCTTGTACATTTTCAAAGTCAACAATCAGAGAGGGTAACTAGAATGTTGCAAATGGCAAAAAAAAAAAAAAAACAGAGAGAGCATGACTAAAAACGATACAAATAAATCACAGGTTCTGACCTGCAAAAACTCAGGCATCTGTCCTGATTTTCCATGTACAAAATCGATAAGGTAGTCTAAACCATGATTTGCATAATCCTGCAACCATGTCATGCCATTGTATCAGAAATTTCCTTTAAGTAGTACAATGAATTTTAAGGAAACCATTTTGACTCCAAATTCCAAAAGTATTCATCTACATCAATGATTCTAGTAGAGGAACTGTTAATCTATGCCAAGTTGCCAGCTTCTGGGTAAAAACTCATAAGAAAAAAAATATTCGCACATCTTTTCAACAAACGAACAACATAAAAATAATTATTCTTTCCCCAGGTAAAAAAAAAAAAAAAAAAGATCCAACATCATGGCAAACAACCACAGATATAAGTTATTAAATTCAATAAGGACAAGAGAGAGATTTGCCTGCTTCCAACTCAATGAAGACAACTTCGCATCCTGAAAGGCATAATTATCCACAATAAGAATTAAGAGGAATATGAGAGAGGATTAAGGAAAGACAAAGGTGGAATGTAAGTATTTATCATTTTTTTGGATGAAGAAAGGTTAAATAATAATTTGCACCCTGAACTATTAAACCCAAAAGCTTTTTGCTATCATTGATTTAGAACTAACAGTGGTTACTTTAAGTATGATGGGCCCACGTATTCTCTGCACCCACTCCCACCCTCTCTCTCTCTCTCTCTGCGCTTCGGCTCCCCCCCCCCCCCCACACCCTCTCCCTTCGTCTCTCTCTCTTGACAATCCACTTCGTCCCAATCATCCTCATCACTATCATCTCCATCCTTACCTTCTCGTTTCTCAACCCTTCCCTTCCAACTTCCACTCCCATGGATGTCAGCTTCAATGATCCACAAGATTCAAGCTCAAGTTCTTCCTTCCATGGACCAAGAGACCAAGCTGGTCCAGAATCAGTGCATCCTCACGATTTTGGGCTCTGCCACCGTAAGAAACGACGCTACTTCATCTTCTCTGCGTCATTTGGAGTTCAATCCTGTCTTTATGTTCACTAGCTCGTGAAAAGATCACAAAGCTCTTTGTCTAAAAAGAGCCTCGAAATCTGCATGGAGATTATCGGATCCGAAACAGGATTCGGTCTTATCTCCACCGACCCACCTCTTGAGACTGGAGATGCAGGAGACGACAAGGAAGAAGAACAGAAGCATGAAGTAACAGGGAAAGTAGAGGAAGACAACTTCGTGTTCAACGGTCCCTCTCTTCACATGCTCTCCAGTTGAGACGACGGAAGGTTAGTCCTCAAAGCCGCGTAGTCCGCTAGCTCCACACTCAATCTCTCCTTCATTCTCCGCGACTCACTCGCATCGTTCTCATGGCTTCACGTACGCTTGCTTCTTTTCTCACGAGTTTATCGCATATCGCCGCACCTACGCTTGTGTCTTCTCTGATCTCTCTCGCCTTTGTACTGATTCACTCACGATGGTTCGTTGAACCACAGCTGCCGCACCCACCCTCGTCCCGTTTGATATGTTGACGAAGCAGTTGGGATCTCCTCCGGTCTGTCTCTGCTAAGCTAAGGTCTATCAGTTTAGTTGGACGTTCACGAAGAATGGGAATGGCCTTGGGCTCAGCGGGTACGCGTGTTTCTCTGGCTTGCACTCAAAGGGGAATGGAGAGAAAGGGAAAGAGGTGAGGAAGAACGTGGCCAGACGTGAATTTTTCTCTTTCATAATTCTACACGAGGAAGAACGTTAAGAATAAGATTCCAACTAATTTGTCATGTCATGAAATAAACATACCAATGTTCCCATTGCTTGTTTCAAGGTAACCAAGTCCTTGTGGAAATCAGTAATAGTATTTCTAACTCCAGTAACCTGCTTAAGCATGAAAATTTTATGGGGGAGTTAGTTTTCTTGATGTTTAGTCAAATGCAATGTAATTGAAATCACAGCATACTCTGGGTCATGTTATAAATTTTCATACATCATACAAATGGTATGGCAAAGCCACACTTAACTTTCCATTCCCATTTATCTTGGACTGGAAGAGGCTGATGATGTGAGTTGCATAAAGTAACTGCGTTGAAGTCTCGGGTTAGAAGTCATCTGTCTCTCTATACCTATATCTATCTATCTATCTAGCACGTGACAATCTACCATCAATTAAGATTAGAATTGTTTTTCTTATTTCTTTTACATTTCAAAATTTTTAAACCATGAATTGGTATACATCTCAAAATGATAGGTAAGTAAGCCACTTGCAAGAAATGGCTGAGGATTAGAGGAAGAGAGCTTTATGTAACTGTTGGCAGCTGATAATGATATTCGCTTACATCCATATACAAATAGATTAACCGTCACCAAGACTTGGTTTTCTAAAATCAAGAATAAACCAAAAGGTTAACCTTGATGTCTGTGATTCATTAGAGGGTGATAATGCATGTATTCCCTTCATCCCTTGTAAGTAAACACATCAATGTAACTGTGCATATGAGTAACATGTATGCCTGAAAATGTGCTTGACTGTTGTGTATCTTAATTACAAGCACATGTGTAAACATAAAACCTGTATGTATCAAGGACAAACCTCATCCTTAATTGACCTTGCCAACTCATTTTGCTTGAGCATTTTGTCATCCAAATGTTGAATCCTCTGCGTCAAATGCTTCTTGGCATGCTGCAAACAAAAGAATTAGAAGCAACCAAAAGATGCACCAATATGAGTAATGCAAAATTCACACGTGTTTGCACCAATATTTAATGATGATTAAATAAATATCATCAAATTAAGACTGTACTTAGTCATCAAAGAACACTTGGGTCCATATCATCAAACCTCTTACTGACCTAATGATGCCTATTTATTTCAATTTCTAGTGTCCTTGAAACGAATATCATCATTAATGAAACCTTTCAAGAACATGGGTAGATGGTGCTCTCGCTTGTTCAAAACTTACTATCCCATGAATATGCAAAACTAATATATAAATTACACTGCAATAAATAAATAAAAATATACAGCGATGACATCTGAGGCGTGCAGCAACTTTTTGGTCAAATCTGAAACTGCCTTTTCCATACTACGTTTTGTCACATACATAAGACTTGAAAGTGAAAGGCCCTGACATTTAAAAGAAAGAAAAAAGAAGATTAGTATATAAAATTTTTCATTTTAAAAAATAGACCATTAGTAAAACCATTCAAACTGTTTTGGCAAACAATCCATATAAAATTTTGCACCTTAAAGTGAAAATTTGAAACAATAAACACTGTATAAGGGAGAAAAATGCCAAATTCCAATCAAATGGAATAACGAACTCTTAAATATCTTAGAAGTTCAGTACCTTCCACCAAATGTAGCCATATCCCAAAGCACTCAACGCGGCTACCGGTGTTACAAGGGACAGCATATTCCCTGCAAAAAATACAGACATCTCAAAATCGATAAATGTATTAAAAATGCAATATTTCACAACATATCAATGATCAATAACTTGTAAAGAGGTAGATGCTAGAATATACCATTTTGTGCAGAACTCCCATTCAGTATTGGCCTATTCAAGGCCAATTGTCGAATTTCATAGGCTAGACGACCCATCTAGAGTATTTTCAAGCAATTTTTTTGTCACAAGAACTTGCAAAAAGAGATAAGACGCATTAAACTGTTTCATGAATATATCGTTTTTATTACCTGAGAAGCAATAACATCTGCATTCTCACTTTCACCATTAGATTGATCCCCAAGATTTTCCAATCCCTTCAGCAGAAGCTATGAACAGGAAAAAAAAAAACAAAACAAAACCCATTTGGAGATAGGAATCATAATATCTAAAAATTGTGTTTGGGCACCCTGAATCCTTCCTATCTGGTGTTTACAGTGTTAAACTTATATATAGAAGTTAAGTGTTCATCAAGACAGGAGAAAACATATGCTGAACAATGATCAGGTTAAAAGTTACAAAGGACTCGTCTGATGAAACAGATATCTCCTCAATTTCAAACAAGCCACACAAAATCCACCGGCGGGAAAAAATCAAATTTATTACCTAGTAAGTTTTACACCGCATGGTAAAAAATAAAAGGAGGAAAGGGATCAAACTGTATTTTTAGCTGTGATAACGTGAATGCAATTGAGCTTGATCATGTACAAGCGTGTTGGACGTAAAACGAAACACGCACTAAGGGTAGCAAGGATTAATTATTACATGGAGCTCGGCAAACAAGTCCGATAATTTGCCGTTCTTCAAAAAGATCGTGCCAGTGTATCCTGAAAACAGTAAAAGCCAGATCCGAATTCGTGTTTTAAACTTCACGCGCGATTGAAAGCGTGCGTGAATATGAGAGAGAGAGAGAGAGAGAGAGAGAGAGAGAGAGAGAGTACCTGCCCCAGCTAAAATAAGGATCTTCGAAACTCCAATTCCAGCTTGCATAGCTATAGCTGATTATAATAACGCAGGGCTAGAAATCACAAACATGCAAAGATAGAAGAAGAAGAAGAAACTGGAAAACACACAAGTCATACCGGACTTTCGGCTCCATGCACGCTAGATTTGAGGGCAGTTCGCTGGTGCAATGCAAACAATTATTCTAACGCGCAACTGCAGCCCTCCAATAGAACGACGTCGTTTCGGATCAATCTTCTCCTGCTTTTCTTTTTCTGTGTTTTTTTTTTTCCCTAAACATATATCACAAATGCTTACAATTTCATTCAATTTTAAATTAAATTTTTATAATTTATTTTATTTTAATTGAGTCATTATAATTTAATTAATTAAATTTTTTTAATCTCTAAAAATTAAAATCTTTACATTTTTTTAAAAAAATAAAATTAAAAATTTTTATATTTCTATTAAATGATCATATAACTTTAAAATTAATTACACAATTTTTATAACTCAAAAATTATATAATTAGATTATCTTTTAAATATTTTTTATACATATAAAATTTTTGTAAAAAATTATAATAAAAATATAAATAATGAATTAAATTAAATTTTTTTTATTTTGACTAAAAATATATGATTAAATTTGTCTTGCAAAAACTAAGAGTATTTTTGTTTTGTAAAATTTAATAATTTATTATTAATTTTAATTTTTAAGATTTAATATATATAACAGATAAAACTATAAAAACTTGATTAAAAGTAAAATAAACTGCAAGAACTTAATTTAAAATTAAGTGAAATTATAAAGATTTACAAGTAAATTTTTTTATTTTTTTTATGGGCCAAAAACGACCTTTTTTATGGGTTGACTCAAGACTCAAGAGTTAATTACACTTTTTTTTTTGGGTGAGCAAATTAGTTATAAATTTACATATAAAATTAGTAACTAGATGAGAGCACATTGTATAGGTTTGGAACAATTTACTTTATTTTTCATAATCTCTACAATAAGCTAAAGAGTGTGCCTAGATATTAGTATAAATTACGCCCAGTCGGGAAAATTTATAAAATAATAAGGAAAAGATTCAAGTACTTAATTTTATACTTCTTTTTCCTTAATTTTATATACTTAATAATATCCTTTTATTTAATCAAATCAAAATAAGTGCACTAAAAAATATTTATAATATTAAGAACAAAAATTTACAATAAAATAAATAATATATAAAAAATTATACATCTTGATTTGATTGAAAATAAATACCTTATATATAAGGATAAATATACATGACACATTAACACTTGATCAAAATCATCAACATCAATATCAATAGATTATTAAATCTATAACAAAATAGTATTTAAATTCTAAATCAATATGGTTCATTTCTCTTTCACTTGAAAAAAAAAAAATATGGTTCATTTCTCAAACTACATACACTACATAAAACTTTCCTTTAGTTTTATAAGTTTAGTTAAAAAGAAAGCATATCATGTTTGCCACCTTTTTGTTGGTACTTTCAGAGCAAAATTAAGCGCATATCCAAATAAAATAAAATAAAATAAGGGGTCTTGTTTTTTTGTGCAGAAATCACATTCAAATAAATAATATCAATGACGCCGGGGGGAATTTATTAAAAAAAAAAAAGGACCAAATTTCCCGAGAATTTACCTATTAAAACATCTGAATTCAACAGTAGACAAAAAGTATCTGTACATACCTTAAATAATTATTAAAAATAAATAAAAGAAATAGCGAGTAGAGGGAGAAGATGAATATCCGTGTATTTTAGTATTTTACACCCCTTGCGATCAATCTTGAGCATGTTGAGGAATAGCTCTCGTACGAGGACATGTCCTGATATTGTGCCCACTCCCGCGGCACAAACTACACTTGTATGGTCTCAAAGAAGCTGTCGTTTTGGAGGTACCAACTAGCTGAGGGCAGGTCCTGCGATTATGGCCATATCGACGACAAATTTTGCAGCGATAAAGTTTTACAGGTCTGCCGTTCCGATGGTCTATCCTTAACTTGATGCATGTTCTTCTGTTATGGCCTTTTCCCCCGCATAGCCGGCACGTGAATTGCCGCCCCATCAAACTATCCTTCAGCTCTGGACAGTAGTGTCGCCTGTGCCCTTCCCGTCCACAGTTTTGGCAGAAGAAATTTACTCCTGCTCCATATAAAGTAATACCACCTATCAACTGCAACTTGCAACTATATCATAAATATAAATATATATATTAAGTCACAATGTTCACAAACAGCGAACTACTTAGACCATGTTCCAAATAGGATTTGGGTCTAGAGAATAACCTAAGTACACTCATTTAATGAGTATCCCAATTACAGTCATTTAATTTCATCAATTTTTGAAAATTATCAAGATACATTGCTTTCTAAAAATTCAAAATAACCTTCAAAATCAGAACACTACTCATATATGTTGTCCCTTCCAAAAATTTGAGATTTGGTATTTCTTGGATATTATACAACAAAATCTCTAACAATTGTCCCATTAAATCAAACAGGTGTTATTGTGCCATGTGAGACACTAGTGAATTTGTGCCACTCACTATATCCAAATCTGTTCCAAATGTGGTTTGCTCAAAAGCAGCACTCTGGGCAAACGTGGTCTATGGTGGTGTCAAACAGTCACCCCAAACACGCTATTCATCATGTTTCTAGTCTGGTTGACCTTGAGACCCGTGAATATTCAGTCTAAAAGATCAAAGTCTTAAAAACTGATCAATATGAAGCTAAATTTGATCAAAGATCAGTTTGATATCGGTTTTTTCCTCTACATTGGTGTTATATTGGGTTAGCATATTTTATCATGCTGCTGAGTATATATCTGGGTCAGTGCTAATGCTATGCTTCTTAACTGCTAACGCACTAGCAAATTAGTAGGTGGGGCATGAAACTAACCTTTCATGGCAATGCTCCTTTTATGACGATTTTCTGGGTTACTAAAGAAAACTTTCATGGTTTCAGAGGCGTGCTTTCTAGCTGAATCAGTTCCCTTGGATTTCTGCACAAAGTATATAATGCATTATCATTTATCACCAATATCAATGTAAAATATATAATTTATAACAAGTCACACTATTCATACGTAATGAACAGAGCAACGTATCCTATAGACTCCGTACAACGTACAAGATACCCACATCTAATAATGCAGAAACTTTCAATATACCAAAGTTCTAATGCTTCCGCAAGCATAAAGTATACCAATGACATTTTGTTGATTTCTTCATGGAAGTTTTCATTTTGGTGCTAGTAAAACAGGAACGCGCGAAAAAGTTCAGAAGAATTATCATTTACCCAACTTAGTTAAAAGTAGTTTCTGACAAAGCAAAAGAGAAGTTATTCATATCCCTCTGTAGATGCTTGTATTACTTTATCATAACACAGCAAATTTTATCACACAAGAAAGAGGCAAGCTGAAGAAAGGTCTTTTCTTTATATACTACTCTATGGTCGCATCTCCTACATTCAGAAAAATGAATGCATATAATTATGATGGATATAAAGATGAAACGTAGACCCCATATACTTTTGTGCACTTTGTCTTTAGAGACGTCTAAGTAACTAATTGTCAGCACATCATATACATATAACTTGAAAAGATGCAGCAACTATTCATACAAAAACCATAGTCTTTTTTAGTACATAGACTCTACTTTTTTTATTTTAAATTGTGCATATCTCATGCTTGAAAATAAAATCTAACCTTTTTATATTTTACTTGCATATCCAGATATAATACATATCTGTATATGTAGGCTAATTGCTAATGAGAGCATTTAGTTAAAAAATTTAACTATGGACAAAAGAGTATATTTTGAAAATAAATGGGTGACCTGTGTAATTTCAACAAAAATTGGAGGAGGTCCAAATAATTTACCCAAGTCTTTTAATTATAATGAAAGAAATGAATGCATCTTATTCAAACCTTAATTGCAGCCACTCTCTGCGCATGAAGCATGGGATCACGATGGATAATCTTCATTCTCTTGCTAAACAGACCAGTTTTTGCATTGAGATCCTGCGATCATCCAACTAAACGAAGATAATTAAATTCATGTCCTCATCAAACTCTACCACCTGTGCGTGCGTGCATGTGTATGCATTCTTACACATGGAATTTCTAGGTGCACCAATCACAAGGATGGTGAATCAAAACAAAATACAAGTTTAAGCAGCGAACTAACTTTTAATGAACGACTAATCTTCAAGCCAACTTCAGGAGGTGGTGACTGGTAAACACGCTTTGATTTTTTCTTCACATCCAACTTTATGTCTAAATTATCAACTTCATCATCTTCCTTCACTTTGAGTGGGGAACTGAGTGAACAAAAACCCGATTTACCAACCATCCCAAATTACAAGTCATAATTTTAACTATTGAAGCAAAATAAACAACATATTTGATCTGTTTTTGAAGCATGTTGACTAAATGTAACAACCATCATTCTGATTGAAAGGATTTAAAACTAGAAGAGTTATTATTATTGCCACAACCATATTAATGATAATTATGTCCTGCCTGAAATAATATCCTTCTAGAAGATCTAATGCATTCTAAAAAAAAAAGCACATAACTGAACAATGCGCAAGCATGAATATAGCCATATCTTAAGTAAGATAAGTGATTTAGGAGAGAAATAGCTAAAGCTATGATTGCAGGCTATTAATTACTAGAGGCTTAGCACAATGACCAAAAGTCTAATAGCAGCAAAGCAGGAACCGAAATGATTATTATGTTACATAGAACGTGCTCTTTCCCATGGCCTTTCATCAATGGATTCTTCCCAAGTAACACGAGCTCCTGAACACTGGTGGCAAGTAACAATACCCTGTAGACATGAAGGTCAAAGAAAAGTAGGAAATATTTTAATAAATATCATGTAATGATAAGTAGTTCTAAACTCTTGTAGCTTTATAAAAATATCATGAAAAGTAGTAAGCAATAATCCAGTACCAACTCAAAATGGTTAAAGAAGGCCACTCTCCATGACACTAACCACTCTGGGCAATATAGACTACAAGGTTACAAATATCGTTAAAGCGACATGTCATATCCCAAATAAAGCAAAACAAGAAGTCTTATCTCATTGGATGGAGTCAGTTGCATAGATTGTACAATGACATTGTGTTTTATCAACAAAAAAATCTTTGGATATATTGTTCACCTAAAGGTCATCCCATAGTTGGCTTAAATTATGACTACAAGTCTTTTTAATTTTATGTTAAATTGCACAGCTGGAACCACAATTTCCTGCAATTTCAACCTTCCTTCTCTTCTCTTTCAGTCTCCTCAATCCCATCACACCCTAAAGGGGAAACAATAAAATATCATGTCTGTGGACTCTAAAATCTAAAACGCTTCTCTTTTAAAGCATAGAAAAGAAAGAGCTAAAAGCAAGGTGCCCCATCCTCGAGGGAGTTAAAGCCTTAACAGTTTGGTTCAAATCATTTATGACTAAGCATCTAGAACAGATATGTCTGAATAACATGTTTGTATAATTGTATAATCCTACATTTACACAAAAAAATTATGTTTCCCTAACAAATATCACCGTGATCTTATAATTTTTATAACCTCCTATAGCAATGTTGGCATATTGTTCCTCTGTTTATATAAAAACAAGTGTATAATCATATACCTTCCCACTACACTTCGGACAGTCTGATCTTGATCTTTCAATCCCGCACTCTGTGCAGGGAGTATAACCCCTTCCCCGGCAGCTCGGACAAGGTAACTCTCTGATGTACTGTCCATTTGGACCAAACCACGACCTTGGTTCCGATGTTTGGGAACTGCCATTGCTGAAATGAATACATGAAGAGTATATAAGTCATTATGTCTTCCAAAAAGAAGTAAAGAACCACCATTTCATGAAATGCAATAAATGGAAGAAATGATACCAACTTCCCAATTTTATAATGTATATTGAGCAATTGAAACAAAATTGACATTATTGTATGAAGTTAGTGTATAATTACACTATTTTTGGTCTTTTTCTTAATATGACCAACAAATTAAGTATGTTGGTTTACCATAACGGGGATCAAAAGGCTACTCAAGACCAAAAATCAAGGACAGAAAATTTACTGTCATTTCGAAACTACTTTTTCCTGCCATCGTCATTTGGAATCACTAATCTATCCAATTTCATATGTAGCCCTTTTTCCCCTTCTTATAAAGATTTCAGAGAGTAGCGGAAAGGGAAAGAGAAGAAAAGGAACACAGTAGAAGAGCAAGAATGAGAACTTGATTACTACTGAGTGATTACATGCATGCATATAGGCATTATAGATACAGCGACTTATAACATAGGTAAAGTCGTTATACTAACTAACACTTCATATTTTTGAGAAACAGGAGAAAGTTCAAACCTCGGCTTGAGTTCCACATCGAGACCGAACAATTCCTCAGGAGGACTATAACCCGACTGCCAGAAAATCACCGCATCAAGAAAAACCAGAGGGAAACCCACAAGTTGTGCCCCCCCAACGTAACAGTCACCCAAAAAAAAAAAAAAAAAGACGCCACCTGTTTTGGGGCTGGCAACGAGAAGGATTCATCGCTACAAACGATGCATGGGAAGAAGCTCCTCTTGGTCTTCGAAGGGAGAAAAATCAAGAACCGCGCATTCGTTCGCTTCCATTTAGAGAACCTCAGAACTTGAAATGGAGCACGGAAGGAGTAAATTTCATAGGAAATCATGAGGAAAAGAATATTTGGTGCTGGTGAGACCAATCTTTGTTTCGCGAAGGGAAATCGGATGTTTTAATATTTATGTATCGGAGCAGCAATTGTGGTACGTGTGGCTAGAAGAGTGACACCATGAATGTAAACGTGCCTGATCGAAGAGCTTGGATTCGTGGATTACGATAAGGCCACGTCTATCTGAGGTGGCGTTACATGTAGGTTAAAGCTCGCCAATTCAGCTCTCAAACCCGCCACATCATAAACCACCTCTCCGTTCAAACCCTCGTTGTTTCTGTTTGGCATGAACTTCGACGCCGAGGAAGGCAGAATGTAGTGCGAAACCAGGTATGAGATGTCATTGTTGAGATGTAGTGCTCCTCCTTTGAGTGCTGAACGAATCTGTCGTTATCCGGAGCTTCTCATCCCCTCGTGTCTTCTTCGCTGAACGGGTCTGTAGCTGGGGTCCCTTCAGTCTTCTCATGGTTGATCCTCACTGTTCTTCGTCCTCTGACCGGCTCTAAGCCACGTTGAAACCCACCTCAGCAGTTTCTTCCTTTTTTTTTTTTTCAATACAAAACCACAGTAAAAAAATCCTGCAAAAGAATCAAATCAGGTCATGTCAAAAGTCAAAAAACTTCTATAATCATTAAAAACGTCGTTGAGAATCGTAGTGTCTAAATAGTCGTTAGAGGTCTTATGAGCTAAGAGATCTACACAACGATTTGCTTCTCTATAGACGTGATCCAAAGTGACCTTCCAATTCTTCATGATGAGATTTTTGATGATTTTTATGATAGTTGAGAGTGGATGACCCTAAATTAGATTGCCATTAATGAGGGATATGGCCTCCATTGAGTCGGTGTGAACATTAAGTCTAGAAATTTTAGCATTCCAACAGATGGTTAGACCTTCTAGAATCCCGATAAGCTCAGCAGCTGTGATATGTTGGTAACCAAAGTTTTTAGTGAAGCTTTTGATCCAATTACCCTTGTCATCTCTTATGAGCCCTCCACAAGCTAGCAGTTTCTTTTTCAACGACCTGAGATTTGCCATGTGGAGGGTTTCGACTTTTGCTAGCTCAGTAACATGTGTAACGCCACGGCACGTAACCGTTTTGCAACAAAGAGTTGATTAAGATCAATGATGATAACTAGGACATTAATGTTTATGCTTTTAATGTGAAGATGAGTCTCTCCACTTAATTTCTCTTCTTTTCCTTCCATTTTCCAATTATGGCCATTGCTGGTCCAAAAAAAATTATGGCCATTGATTTTATTTTATTAAATAAATTTATTTTATTATAAATTTTATGAATGGCCATGATTGAAAAATGGAGGAAAAACAAGAGAAAGTAAATGGAAAGATCCCTCTCCTCTTTTGATGATGTGGGTGCTGATAAGTGTGATGACAACAAGGAATGGAGTGATGTGTGCAATGATTTTGGTTGATGAAGGGGATGAATAGACAGTGAAGTGCAACTAAGATAGATGTGTTGCGTGTCTTGTTTTTTTATCATAAAAGTTGGTTCATTTGTCAAAAGGCAATTTACTAAAGTTTGTTTAGATATATATTGGACTATTAAAGTATTAATGTGTTATTATTGTTAATTACATTAATTAATGGTGAATCCTAAGTTTTATATAAAGGATGCTATAGTGTGTTTAAAAGTTAAGGGGGTAAATCCTATATAAAAAAGAAGTTAATTTAGTCCTCATCCTATTGTCTCTCATAATTTGAGGCTGTTTTTAATTGTGAGGGATTAGAGTTAAAGAGGTGTCAACTTGAAGAGTTATGATATTAGAGTATTAATATATTATTAGTGTCAATCCCATTAGTTAATTGTGGACTCTCAGTTTTATAAAAAAGATGCCATATTGTATTTAGATGATAGGAAAGTTAACTTGTTCCTTACTTCACAATTTGTTCTCATGTTTGGGACTTGTTCATCACCCAAATTAATTTGATCTGTAATGCTTCAAGTAAAGGAATGTTGTGTTTTGTAATCATCATTATTGTTGTGTAATGAAAGGTTTTCCATCAAGATTTTTCTCTTCTTAGAATTCTTAACAATATCTTGGAATGATTAATTTAATAAATTAAAAGTTGCTTGAAAGTTATAGTGAAAAGTAACATTGACTAACTTAAATGTAACTTGAAGTTATTCATAAACTAAAAGTAACATTTAAAAAAATAATCAAATTAACTTTTAATAAATATATATACTTTTAAAATAGATTTTTGAAAGTGAAAAAAGAGACCTAAACAGCTCTTGCTTCTTCAAAAGGAATTTTGGAAAAGCGAAAGTTGTAACCAAACATAGCTATGGTGGAGATATGTTGAGAATATCACATGAGGCTATCAGATGGTTAGGACTACGAGGGTGTTTTGTTGTAGTTACGTGTAGATGTGTTAAAAAAAAAATTATAATTTTAGACATCACTTGATTTTTATTACTTTTATGCGGTTATGTCATGATTTTGTATTAAAAAAATAAGTCTCATATTACCTACTTAAAAAGGAGTTACAGGGTATAACTGCTACAAAGTAAAAATGTGCTAATAAATTAGTTAAGAAAAGGAGAGGTCTCGCGCTTATCATGACAAGCCAATGTTGGCTAGCCCAGATAAAAAACCACCACCAATATGTTTCGAAAATGTATATCTCTTTTAATCATAATTCTAATTCTAATTCTAATTTATCTAGTTAGTGTGTCCTATGCCAATCATATCATATGGGCGAAGGCGCAGATACGTGCAAACAAGCTATACTGTATCAACTCCTTATTATAAAATACTTTTAAGTTTTAACCATTTTACACATCTTAAAAAAAATTATTTTTTATATCTTAAAAAATTATTTTTTATATCATAAAAAAATAATATATACTTTCATTTTTACTTTGATTTTAAATAATAATACAACTACATTAAATACTTTCATGCTAATCAAAAAGCGTAAAATTAAAAAAAATTAATTATTATAAAGTGTCTTACATTTTGAGCTAAAAATTACTTTTAAAATGTGCCTTATAAATAGAATCTAAGGGAGTATTGTAGTTAAATATTTTCTTTGATACTTAATAAGATCTTTTCATCCAGATTACATTGATTAAGACAGGATATTAAAATTAGTAACAACCTTAATTTTTTTGAAAAAGTGGTAACCTCTTTCTAATTCCAAACCTACTAAAGGGAGTAGAATATATATTTTTTGACCAAAAAAAAGTAGAATATTATTATGAAAATAAGGAGAAAGAGATAAAGAAAAGAAAATAGCAAGGCAAAATGAATTGAGAGAGAAAACATGAGAGTATATTTTATTCATTTAAATATTCACATGCTTTGTATATAACCTTTATTTATAGGCTTTCAACTATTAAAGCCTAACCTTAATATTACAAATGAATAAAAAATAACATAATAACATAGAATGCAACCTTTGCAGGTTACAAGGCATTAATCTTAAGAAACTCTTTCTATGTCATTCATTGGAAGGTTATGGAAAATGAAGAATCTTAAGTTTTAAGAGTTGTAGGCATCCACTCATAATATTCATAATACTTTCTCTTGGATGTCCATGATAAATATTATGCCTTGTTAAAACCTTACTAGCAAAAATTCAATGAGATAAAAACCTAGTGACAAAAAATATTTACTTCCCACAATGTCCCCTTAATAACAATATCCCTTCACTCGCCTTGATGATACCATCACTTTATGTCTCTAAATCTACACATTTCAATCCCATACACTAACTTCTTGAATGTTAAAGCTGGTAGTGTCTTAGCAAATAAATCTGCAAGATTGTCACATGAGTGAATTTGCTTAATATCTATATCATCGCTTTTCAAAAGGTCATGAATGAAGAAAAATTTTAGAGAAATACGTTTTAGTTTATCTCTTTTAATGTATCCTCCTTTCAATTGAGCCATACATCCTATATTTGTTAGAATCTTTTTTTTCCAACAATAAACCACACATCTTTTAGATATGATGGATCATTGAAATTAGCCAAACACGTTTTTTTACTTGTTTTGTGAATTGTTATTATTTTCGCATGATTTGATGAGATGACAACTAAAGTTTGTTTTATTAAATACCAAGATATTGTTGTACCTCCTAAGTAAACAAATATTCAGTTTGTGATATACTTTTTATGTAGATTGATCAAAATTCGGCATCTGCATAACTAATAAGTTGTGATGCAAATTTATTAGAATAAAATAATCATATATCAATTATCCTTTAAAGATATCAAAATAAGTGTTTAACTCCATTCTAATGTTTTTTTGTTGGAAAATAACTAAATCTTGCTAATAAATTTACAGCAAATACAATATCAGCTATTGTTGAATTAGAAAAATACATCAGTGCACCTATAGCATGAAGATATGGTACTTCAGGATTAAGAAGTTCTTCATCTTTATCTTGAGGGCAAAAAGGATCTCTTTCTCATTAAGAGATCTTACAACCATCAAAGTAGTTAATGGATATACTTTGTCCATATAAAATTGCTTTAATATTTTTTCAAAGTAAGTTGATTGATGAAGAAAATTTTCATTTGTTATAAGTGCTCGATTTGTAAACTAAGACAAAATTTTATTATTTCAAGATCTTTCATTTCAAATTTTTTAAGCAATCAATTGCCTTTTTGAAGCTTTTTAGGAGTTCTAATTATATTCAAATTACCCACATAAACAACAGTTATAGGATGGAAAATATTTTGCTCCTAATCAAAAACTAATTGTAACAGAAAAAATTTATGATAACTTGTTAGCTTGATATACATAAGTGTTGTTGCATGTAAAATTGCATATCTCCATGCAAAAATAGGAAGTTTTATCCTCAAGAGCATTGGTCTAGCTATTAACTTGAGGCTTTTGATGAATGATTTTGCAAGACTATTTTGAGTATGGACATGAGTAACAAATTTTTCAATTGTTATTCTAGTTGATATGCAATAATCATACAAAATTTACGATGAAAATTCACTCGCATTATCAAGATGAATTATCTTAATTGCATAATCTGAGGGCTATGCTCTTAATCAAAACATCTAGGCAAGTAATTTAGCAAATGCTAACTTCCATGTTAATAACAAACTCACATGTGACCATTGCATAGATGTAACTATTAAAACCATAAAATATCTTAATGGTTCACATATATCCCCTTGGATATGTTTAAGAAAAATAAGAGATTCAATTCCCACTTTTGCAATTGAAAGTTTTTTTAATTAATTTTTCTTAAGAACAAGCAACGCATAAAAAATTCTTAAATTGAGGAATCTTTTGGTTCTTGAATGGATACTCATGTAAATTTTTAATAATTCTACGCATCATAGTTGACTCAAGATGGCCTAACCGGTTATGCCAAATGATAAAGGTATCTTGATCTGTAAATTTCTTGTTGACTATTGCATTTCTTTTAACTATACTAATAGTTGTATAGTACAAATCAAAAAATAACGTGTATAATTTTTTAGGACACATTTCTTTTGATATCTAAAATTTGTAATATGTAGATATTCAACATCTTTCTCATTTATAATCTTAATATGATACCCATTTCGGTCAATATTTTTAAAACTTAATAAATTTCTTTGAGACTTAGATGAATATAATGCGTCATTTATCATAATTTTAGTTCCTTCGAATAATATTATAATTACCCTTCTGGAACCATCAATTAATTTAATATTACTTGCTATGGTATTGACACTTTCATCTCTTATTGTCAAATAAGTAAAATATTTTTTATCTTTAAATATGGCATGCGTTGTAGCACTTTTTATGAGACATATATCTTCACTCTTATGTCTGATGAAAAAAGGGAATATCCATATTCTTTAACAAAAGAAAACAATGCATTAAAATAAATACTTAATAAATTAAAATTTATTCCAAGCAATAATGCTTTTATTATAAGAAAGAAAAATAAGTATAATAATAACAAAAATAAAGCAATGAATGGTTAATGAGACTTGATTAAATTAAATCACTAATCATATGATTATTTTCAAATGAATAAAATAAAAAAATGTAAAATTACTTTGTAACTAAGAAAAGAAAAAGATAAGAAAATAAAACAATAAATATAATGTGGTAAATATACAAAAATAACCATGAATGTTGGTGAAACAATAATATAAAATATAATTATATATATATAATATAAGAATTAATCTAGCTAAAATATCATACCTGATTTTCAGAGCTAATTCTAACTGATGATGTATTATGAAAATAAAAGGAAAGAGAGAAAGAAAAGAGAAAAGCAAGGGAAGAAGAATTAGGAGAGAAAATAAGAGAGTATATTTATTCGCTTAGGTATCCACGTGCTTTATACATAACCTCTAGGTGTATTTTATTTACTTAGGCAAGAAGAATTATGAGAGAAAACAAGAGAATATATTTTATTTACTTAAATATATTTTATTAAAGCTTAACTTTAAATCTTGTTTGATTTAAGGGGAGGGAAGGGGAGGGGGACATCCCTCCAAATTGAGGGGGAGATTTTGGAGAGAAGGAGAGGAAAAATTTATTTAAAAAATTTTCCCCCTTCCACCTTACCAAACAATGGGAGGAGGGATAAGAATATAGTATAGTTGGGGAGTTAGTTTTCTATTTTCTTTATTTTGACTCTTTACATTTATATTTATAAATATTTTTACTTTTTTAATTATATTTATTTCTCTTATTCTTCATATTGACTTAATGACTGGCCACCATTTAATCAAATTTATGGGTATTTTTGATGGACTGAGAGGTGAAAAGAGACCCTAGATCTAGAGAAATAAGCATAAATAACTAAGTTAGAGATAGTTCTAAAAATTTATGGTGACTTAAACTATAGCTTCATGGTTTAATTAGTTGATTGGGTATCGTGGGAATGAATTCAACACTAATTAAAAAGGGACTAATAATTCGGGAGAATATTAGAACATTTTAGAAATAGTTGTCACTATAATTGATCCGAATTAACTCAAAGGGTAGAAACTAGCAACCTATAGGGTGAATCCTAAATCCTAACGCTTCAAGTGATTGTGTTTTCATCATCATTATTTTCTTTATTTATTTTTATTCTTTATATTTTCATTAAAATTATTCATTTTATCTATTTTTCTTGAACTATTAATTATTTAAATTAGTAAAAGTATAACTTTTCTGTAGGTTCAACACATGGAATGCTTTGGGTAATTTATTATTGTAATCTCGTATATTTGCAAGAGTGATCAAGTTTTTGGCGCCATTGTCGGGGAAGTCATAAATTTACTAACTATTTAATTTTTAGTTCATTTAAATTTTAAATTTTAAATTTTTATTTATTTTTATTATTTTTTATGCAACTGAGAAGTTCTGGTGATTTAAATTTAATTCCTATTAATCTAGAAATTGAACGATTTTGTAGGAAAAATAGATCTTAAAGAAGAAGAAAGATGGGTGATGAAACTATTCTAAAACCATCCATTACATTTAGAGATATTCAACGTCCATTCACCACATCTAATTTATCATGCATCCAACTGAGTACAAGAGCACGTAATTATGAATTTAAGAATACTCACTTAAATGTGCTACCTAATTTCAACAAGCACTGAACTGAAGATGCTTTGAACTTTATACGAGAATTTTATGCGGTAATTGATACACTACTGCTAAATAATCTATCGAATGATGATTTAAAGCTGCGTTGCTTTCCATACTATTTAAAAAGAGAAGCTCATCAATGGCTTTTACGATTACCAGAAGCTTCCATAAGCTCTTGGACTAAAATGTATGAGTAATTTATATTGAAATATTATTATTCTAAGAAGACTTCAGAATTAAGGGATAATATTCACTTCTTCACATAGCAAAATAGTGAATTGTTCCATGAGGCTTGGGAACGTTATAATCTTCTCATAAGCCAATGTCCCCATCACCAATTTCCACACATACTCTTGATGGATTTTTTTTATGATGGGCTGAATGCTGAATGCCAATTAAAAGTTGATAATACAGCTCGAGATGATCCAATTAATATGACGGCTGAAGAAAGGGAAGAGATTTATAAAATGTTAGCAGCAAATTCAAGGCAGAAAGTGATTCGAGGAAGGAGGGCGATGGTTAATAAAGTTTCTACATCAGATGTCTCACATGAACGATGAGATTTAACAAAAAGTTTAAATTTATTATTGAAAAATTTAGTTTTGTTAATTCTCTTTCTTCTATTAATAATTCTCTTCATACAGGTTGTGATGGTGATTATGTGGAGGAGGTTAACTATATGAGAACTGGTATTGATCGAATTAATCCTAGAAACGATCCTTACTCTAACACATACAATCCAGGGTGGAAAAATTATCTAAATTTCTCTTGAAAAAATTATATCATTCAAAAGCCACAAGCATCACTAGGCTTTCAACAACAAAGAAACACAATTGAAGATCGTACAATGAAGTTGGAGGAAGCTTTAGCTCAAATGGCAAATTACCAAGTGAATAGTATGAAGAGTATAAATTAAGAAATTGACCAACTTAAACAAGCAGTCACTTCAACATAAGCTTCTGTGAAGAATATAGAATCACTTATCTGAATACCTCAAAAATACTCTTTGAGATATTTGGAGCTCGTAGAAGCATTTTGAAGGTTGAAAGTGAAATTATTAAGGAGTTTCACATATTATAATTATTTCTTTTCTACTCCTAATTTTCTCTGTAATCATTTTTCATGATCGGGGATTTTAGAATGGTTTTATTTAATTTTATTATGTATTTTTAAATTACCCAATTGGGGTAGGGATGTAATCCAATAGGGGAGCTAGTTTTTTATTTTTTTTAACTCTTTACATTTATATTTATGAATATTTTTTCTTTTTTCAATTATATTTGTTTCTCTTGTTCTTCATATTGATTTAATGATTAATTACTATTTAATCAAATCTATGGATAATCTTGATGGACTAGGAGGTGAAAAGAGAACCTAGATCTAGAGAAATAAACATAAATAACTAAATTAGAGATAGTTCTAGAAATTTATGATGATTTAAACTATAGTTTCACGATTTAATTAGTTGCTTGGGTATCATGAGAATGAATTCAACACTAATTAAAAAGGGACTAATAATTCGGGAGAATATTAGGCACTTTAAGAATAGTTATCATTATAATCGATCCGAGTCAACTCAAAGGGTAGAAACTAGCAACCTATAAGGTGAATCCTAAATTTTAACGTTTCAGTTGATTGTGTTTTCATCATCATTATTTTCTTTATTTATTTTTATTTTTTATATTTTCATCAAATTTATCCATTTTATCTATTTTTTTGAACTATTAATTATTCAAATTAGTAAAAGTGTAATTTCCCTATAGGTTCGATGTCTGAAATACTTTGAGTAATTTATTACTGTGGTCTCATACACTTGCGAGAGCGATCAAGTTTTTGGCACCATTGTCGGGGATCGAACTCGGGTTGCCCACATGACAGGCGGGAATACTCACCACTATACTACAACACTAATTATCCATTTCAAAATTTTCAGAATTAAGGCTAATTATAGCATGTAAATTGCTAAGGAAATTATAACGGTATAAGCAATAGAAAATTATCATGATATTCCCTCCTCCATACTTAAATTTCATGTTGTCCTCAATGTTTGTAGAAAAGGAAAAAGATAAAAGAACTGAAACTCTCCTGATTTAATTTGTTTTGATATGACTTTGATAACCTTTAAAAAACTCTCTTTTAAGTATTGTAATCCTGCAATTCATCTTAAAGGGGGTCTTAGTGATCAAATAAAATTTTATGGGGATAATGAACAGTAAAAAGAAATTAAAAAAATTAAAATAACAAAGAAAAGGAAATAAAAATAAAATTAAATTGCCTCCCAACAAGCGCTATATTTAATGTCTGTAACTAGACACTGCTGTAAAAATTAAGAGATGTCTTTTGAGTATGATAAAAATCCTCATCTCTCCTCCTCTCCACTTGCCCTATCCAAACAAAAAGAGGGAAGTTTGGTAAGGTGGAGGAAAGGAGAAATTTTTTAAAATTTTCCTTCCACTCCTCTCAACCAAATAGGAACTTAATATTATAAATGAATAAAAAAATAATAGCATAATATATAATTTTTGAAAGTTATAAGGCATTAATTTTAAAAAATTTCTTTTAAATTATTTATTGACAGGCTATAGGAGAAGAAAAATTTTAAATTAAGAATTATGAGCGTCCACTCGTAATACTCATAATAAATATATATATTCTTTAAGTACTTTCGATAAATTAAACGAAGAGCTTCCTGGGTCCTGGCAAGGGCGTGAGTTAAAGTTTATTAAAAGCAAACGGGAAAAAGATCCTCGTCGTTTGCTTGCGTAGTTTACTGCTATTTGAGACGAAATCAAAGAGAACCTTAGCCGGGAAAGCCAAGCCGAACTGCTGGAGGGAGAAGAAAGGACTGGCGACGGTAATCCAAAATGTCGCAGCTTCACTATCTATCTTCTTCTTCCTCACTCACTATACAGTGCTCAATTCAACTCTGCCCTCCCCACAGTTTCTATCCAAAGGCCCTTTCTTTTAGCCGTTCTTCCACGTCCAGTGGCTCCAACTTCTCCCTCACCCTCCCATCCTCCCGCAGAAACCCATTGTCTATCAAATGCCGCCAATCCGAGTTCTTCGAACAACAAAGCTTAGTCAGACCCATAAGAAATGGAAACGGAAGCGATGCAGGTATATAATTCCCATCCTTATTCACTTCACCTTCTTACCCATCTTCGTTCGGTTTCCGAAGAAAGAATGGACTAGTGCTAAACACTGTTAGGTTGTTGAGAAAATAAGCCTAACATTTTGACTAGTGGCATTGAGATTCAGCAGGATTTTTCAGCCTCCAACACTTTTATTGTGCCCTTCTCAAAATTTTCTACTAAAGGAAAATGAGTCGATGCTATAGACCCTGCTGACAACCACAACAGAATTGTGGGGTAGTTGGAATTTTAGATTATTAGTATTGTAAGGCACTCATTTGCTTCTACTGTTTGCTTGTTTAGTTGGAGCTCTGCCGCCTAGGGTTTATGTGGGTCACTCGATTTACAAAGGGAAGGCTGCGCTTACGGTGACTCCCAGGCCTCCAGAGTTTTCTTCATTGGACGTATGTTTGTCTTGGCATTTGGTTTTGTAAATTCATGCAACAATATCTTTTATTTTTCTATTGCCCAATGTTTCTGGACTAGTTTTATGGCATTGTGATATATATTTTTCTAACCTGAATATCGCATTGTGATAGCCTGTTCTACTTTCTATGTGCAGTCAGGGGCATTTAAAGTATCTCGGGAAGGTTATGTGCTGCTTCAGTTTGCTCCTGCAATTGGCATGCGCCAATATGACTGGAATAGAAAGCAGGTGACTTGTACTTCCTTTGTGTTCTGGGGAAATACATGGTATAAAGCCAATTTCAGATACTACCATTTAGTGATTATAGTTTTGCATGTTGTAAGATATACCAATGCTGGAAAAAACTGGTTCTAATACTTTGTGACATTAAGAAGTGTGCAGCATAATTTAGCTTGGGCAGTAATTGAATCCTGACAGAAGGACATAAAATGGTTCTGTCTAGTTCTTAAACAAGAATCCTAGTGCCTGACTGCAGAGTACTAAGGACAAAAACTGGCTTAGTAACTTTATATTTCCTTAAGTTTATGCGATTTTATGTATATGTTTGATGAAATGGAGAAACTTGTTAGATCAGTCCTTTGAACGAGCCTTGGTTCAGCCTAAGCCAATACAATGTTAGTATTTTGTATAAATAAACAATTTTATTAATCTCTTCATTCCTCCTGTGTCTTACAATTGACAACAGACTCTATTGGCCGCCAATATGCTGCTTCAGAAGGCTTTCTTAGTTAGTCTCATTTCATAAAGATTGTGTTAATAATTCTTATTCCATGACTCTTATTGCCTACAGGTTTTTATATTGCTCCCTGCCCAACCAAGTGATCTTTTTTTTAATTATGAAATAATGTTCCCATTTTCATGCTTAATGACTGGATTTCTTTGAGATATTTGATTATGTGTAACTTTTGAAAAGCAAGGTAATATATTCAGTATGCTTGAATATAGGTATTCTCTCTATCAGTGGGTGAAATGGGAAATCTAATTAGCCTTGGTGCAAGGGATTCTTTTGAATTTTTTCATGATCCTTTTAAGGGGAAGAGGTAATTTCTTTCCATTCCTTTCAAAGTTTAATTATTTTTATCATTGATATCAATATTCAATTAAAATCTATGGGAATTCATATTTTTCATGCGCCATGAATAAACCCGTTTTTAGTTTATTCAAAAAATGTTTGGGAGAAAACTGGTGGTCTCTTCAAAACATTGAGCAAATAAAAGCATGCACTGCACCTGGCATGCGAATGCTTATATATCAGTAATGACTCTGCTTTTGTCCTGTTGCAATATTTTTAATGTTGTATTGTTTTGCAGCGATGAAGGTAAAATTAGAAAAGTTTTGAAGGTGGAGCCACTTCCAGATGGTTCTGGTCACTTTTTCAACTTAAGTAATCCCCTTTTTCATAACCTTCTGTTGCTATTATGTCATTTTATTGCTTCTCTCTTTCATCCTGCAGTTATATAAAGGTGATCAGTTTCATGTACTGGTGACAAAGAATAACTTATCTGACCATTTGTATGCTAATTCCATTGATATGCATCTTATGAAGGTGTTCAAAACAAGATTGAGAACGTGGATGAAAGCATCTATATCCCTGTTTCCAAAGCAGAGCTATCAGTTCTCAACTCAATTTTCACTGTATGATCCCTCTCTCTCTCTCTCTCTCTCTCTCTCTCTTCCCCCTCTTCTCCCAACAAAAAATTAAAAGGCATGCTTACTAGGCCAGCGTTGGTGTGGCCTTGTTTATCCATTCTAATAAATGCATAACAGCGCCTGTTCAATGCTTATCATACCAGAGAAGTAGTCTTCTAGGCTCTAGATATGGTAGTTTTCTCCTCTTTTACTCTAAAAATGCATGAAAGCCATAAAGTTTATATGGGGTTGTCCTGGAGACAACCTGTAATCTGGAATAGATTAACAGGTCATAGGAAAGAGAGGCCTGGCTATGTTTTATTTTCATGATGATGTAGCATCTTGAAATAGGCTTCTTAAATATGTAGAATTTAGAAATTTAAGGTTAGTAAGTGTCTAAATTTTGTTGATATGGAAGATAAAAGGAACATTTCTGTGGAAATTTTATGCAAAATATAACTTAAAATAAAGGGTTAAAAGCAACTTAACCAAAGCATAAGCATACTGACACCTGGTCTTTAACAAGAGCTATCATTATGAATTTATCTGTCTTATTCCGATTGTAAATTTACTGCCTTTTCTATGCAGTTTATCTTGCCGTACCTTCTGGGTTGGCATGCGTTTGCAAATTCTATAAAACCAGAGGATCAAAGCCGATTGAATAATGCCAATCCAAGATATGGGGGAGACTATGAATGGAACAGATAGTTAATACACTGCTGAACGGTGTGTAGGGACTTCTCAACTTGTTTTGTATTATGTTTATCCTGTTAGGTAAGAAGTTTTGAGATAGTAGGGTGTGTTTATCTATCAATTGTTTTGTTTTGTTTTTTTTTTAAATGAGGAATACGTTGCAGTTTGCACTTGTAGCATTTACTCTTCATCCACGCTGAGATGTTAAAAGCAAAAGGCTCGTTATCTAGTCATTAAAACTTAAAGGTTGACAAGGCTATTTATCTCTTTTCTTCAAACTAAAAAATAGATGATTGGGAAAAATTCCAACAGAGAATCTAATTTAGATGGCTTAGATCAAATATGATATATGAAAATCAATATATCCAAATCCTACCATGTTGAGCCCTACACTCCATAGGATGCTATTACTGATACTGTTATGTTATATAGATGTCAGATGAATGGGGGCTATCGAGTTTGAAGCTATTCTTGTGACCCTTGAACGTGTTTATATGTAAATGTATGACACTTTTTATAGGTGAGTTGCAGAACAATGATTGCTACATTATATTAAGTGACCCTAATCTTCTCTGATACCTCTTGCATTGAACAACTGGCTTCACCAAAAGGCTTGTTATTTCCTGAAATTTCTATCCTTTACAATCCAGAATCTCAGTCATCAAAAGGTAAGGCAACAGATTTGCCATAAGCCCCTAGTGAAAAATGCTGAAGCATATTAGACCTTGTTATTTCATGTTTCAATAGTTTTGCCTGAAATAAGCAATCACACATGAAGCATCGAGGCAAGGGATGTGAAATAGAATGATCCTTGTGCTCTGTGAAGAAATATCCAATGCCCTTGATTCCTACCCGTCATCATTTCAGGGCAAATTAGCCTTTTCATCCACAATCCATTTAGAGAGAATGACAACTAACGTTCTCATAACAAATTAGGCTTTTTTTTTTTTAATAGATGTTCAGTGCTGAAACAGAGGAAAATGAATACTAAGTTTGATGAAATCTTGATTTGGTATTTGATTTTTTTGTGGGGTCTTTAGTTATCATTCACCCCCATTCATTCATTCATTTAAGCACTGTATCAGTTCGTCCAATTTTGGATGGAATGGAGGAACTGTGATTTATGGGAAAATGAATGGATCATGAAAACTTTTGTTTTCTTTTTTTAATGGCAAGAGCATTATCAAGTGTTTCCGGGCTATCATGTTTCACGAGCAGTTTCTAGCAGAGACCATTGTTGCAGCTGCAGCAACCAGGGCAGTCACATCAAGCTCAAAATTTTTGAATTAGAAAGGCCGGTATTAATGGCATGAAGTTAGTATGATTGAATTTGTGACCTCCTATTTACTAAGCACTTGCAGCTACCCTCACAACACACCTCACTAATGGGACAGCTAGTGGTGGTGGAAGTGGTGACATGTAGACATGTGGCTTCAGTGGCATAAGATGCGCCTTGTCGACCTGCCTGAATAATGTTTGATGTAGCACGTTTAATAGAAGTTACCTCAGCATGCCCAGAGTTCATAATTGTAAATGGGAGATATGCCTACATTTAGTTATTGATTGTATTTTAAATAGGATTGTTTCTCGTAAGAGAACATCTATATATAGTAAAAAAAATATATTTTGTTTTCATATTAAAAATTATTAAAATTTTAAATTTGATAATTTTTAGCCCGAAACCAAACATGAACTTCAAATGTTAGAAATATGATGCCTATATAATTGTTTTTATCTAACTTTGCTTCAAATATTAGAAATACTTTAGTCTTCCAATAGCTACGTAATTATTAAACCCATAAAATGAACACTTACGTTAATCTAGACTAACGATGCTTTTATCTTCAAAAAGAAAAAAATTTATAACTAATACGAATCAGGGTCAAAATATTTTAAAATTATAAATCATAAAAATAAATTATATTGATATTTGTGAAAGTTAATTACTCCCTTCGTTACAAAATGTAAGTCATTTTTGGAAGGGTTAAATGATAAAAAATGTATGGTATTTTTAATTTTTAAGACGTAATTATTGCTTTTTTTTTTCAAAAATGCCTCTATTGAATAAGTCACTTTTTATTTATTTTAAGTTGAAATACTCTATTAAATAAAGATAAATATAAAAAGATGGGGTTATTTTGAAAACAAGTAACTACTTTATTAAAGATGAAATTTAGTTAAAAATGTCTTATATTTTTTAATAGAGAGAGTATTACTGGTCTCTTGAGCCATGTCATATTCTTGAAAATTTTAAAATAATATTTTCAGCAAGACAAATTAAAGTATTACTATATGATAAATAAATAACAAATAGAATTACAATTTTAAAGAATTTGAGCTATGATTTTAAAAATATCAATATTAATTAAACTTTATGGCATTTTTTATTGTTTATATGTATCCTCTTATCAAAGATAATCCTGTTCAAAGTAAGGTCGAATATTATATGTGGGCACATTTTTTAATAAAAATTTAAATATTAATTTGCCATGTTATGAGGGACAAGCCCCTTCTGTTAAGCTTAATCTTTATTGGTATTAAATATTATGGCATTAAAATTTTTTATCTTTAACCAAGTGGGTGTGATAGGAATGGTAGCAGTTTGGGTCCTTTAAGCATTATTTCAGGATTTCCTGAATGTCTATGTAGAGAGCATTTTTTTGAGAGAGAAAAACCTCTTGAATTGAATTTAAAATTTTTGAGGAATTAATCTCTTGATTGCTGGTCATGGAGCTATCCTAGTCCCCCAGAATCGAAAAAATTATCTCCATTGTTTTTATTTATCATTAATTTTTTTGGTCTAATGTTCATAATGAATATTAATTATAAGCTTTTAATTATTTTTTATATTTATTTTTGAGCCTCTGTTTGCGGGAAGACGTAGTTTACTGCTTCAAGGGACGAAGGGAGTTAGAAGTAAACAATTAACAAGTGGTTGTGTAAGCCTTTAACACGTGTCCTACACCAATACGTGGCACCTTTAACAACCGCCCATGTTCACTCAAAAACCAGAAATAACGAACACATCCCAAACAATAAACTACGCAAGAGGGAATGCAACTCTGAATCCTGAATCCACTTGGAGTCCCAAATCGACAGGTGCGTCAAGGCTACTCATATTCAATCTTTCATTTACTGCCCCATTTTGTTTCTGCCTTAGAGCAATTATATGCGGGAATTTGAACCGCTGTATTGCGTTTATTTCTTTATGATACATTATGGATGTTTATGTTATCTTGAGATTGAGCAGTCTCAACTTCCTCAGCAGAGATCAACCACCCGACATTGTTATGGTCTTATATGGAATACGTAATGGCAGATCGAGAATAACATATATCGGATCATTGTAGCATCTAGACGATGAACACTTTTGAAGACTCTGAATCACAATCAAAAATCTGATAGACTAACATAACCAAAACACATCACAGTATGAGAATAATTTGCAAATGAGTAGCTTTAGAAATAGCCTCGTCACATTTGATGGGTAATTGAAGATATCACAATACTGAAACCACGTGCAAACAAATCCTGAAGGAGAGGCTGGCTATGATTTATCAAAATTTCAATTAATACCTGATTTTGCTTCAGATTCGCTTATGGCGCAAGAAAAGGCGATCAGAGTCAGTGATAGCGCCAAACATTCAAGTTATGATACCTACTTTGAAACCATCCAATCCCGGAAGAAATTAGCACCGGCATTGCAGGAGACATTGACCGACGCATTTGCTAAGATTCCTGTTTCTTCTTTTCCAGGAGTTCCTGGAGGAAAAGGTAAGAAAATTTGCTATACTAGTGCATTTCATCATCGTCATGATTAGCTTATGTGGTTAATGTGAGTCAGTAACCTATAAAGTTATTACTTTGGCAGTGGTCGAAATACCAGCAAACACATTGATTGGTGACGCGGTTAGGATTCTATCTGATTGCAACATATTGTCAGCACCAGTAAGAGATCTAGATGCAGGAACTAGTTCAGATTGGAGAGACAGGTACCTTGGCATAATAGATTATTCAGCTATTATTATGTGGGTGATGGAGAGTGCAGAAGTTGCAGCAGCTGCCTTATCGGCCGGTACAGCAGCAGCTGCCGGAGTTGGTGCTGGAGCTGTGGGTGCCCTAGGAGCAATAGCAATGGGAATAACAGGTCCTGCTGCAGTTGCTGGGTTAACTGCTGCAGCAGTTGGTGCTGCAGTTGCCGGTGGTGTTGTAGCCGACAAAGGGGCAGGTAAAGATGGCCCTGAAGCTGCTGATAATCTGGGTGAGGACTTCTACAAAGTAATACTGCAAGAAGAACCCTTCAAGTCAACAATGGTAAGCTAGGCAATGGTTCAGGGTGATCCTAGACAAGACTGCAAGTTTGTATCTTTTAATGTGATTGTTATCCCTTCGATTTTTGGCATGAATATTCCGCTTCTTTAGTTGGGAAAGAGAAAATTCAACTTATGACGCCTCCTTAATAGAAAAATCCAAGTTCCAGTTGATCCAACACAACCTATACAAATAGAGTGAGTTGATATTTGATTACTCTATGTTGAACTATTGACTCTTGAAAAAGATTATTCCATCACATATCACGGTACTATCGCGGAACCTATCTGCAAAATCTGAAACCATCGCCTATGTTTTTGACCTTATTTGCAGGCCATCTCTATATTTTTCAGCTAAGTTCTTCTCCTAGCTCCACTTCGTCAAAAGTAAAAACATGACCATTGTTTTGACTTCTGGTTTCAGGTGCGATCCATACTCAAATCATACCGGAGGACTCCTTTTGTTCCAGTTTCAAAAGATAGCAGTATGTTGACTGTTTTGCTGCTTCTCTCAAAATATAGGCTGAGGAACGTGCCAGTGATAGAACCAGGCAAGCCTGACCTTGTAAATTATGTTAACTCAGTCCGCAGTTGTTCAAGGTCTTGAGGGATGCCAAGGAAGAGATTGGTTTGACTGCATTGCTGCCAGGCCTCTATCTGATTTGGGACTTCCTTTTATGTCCTCTGACGAGGTAAGGACAAAGGTTTTCAAATAACCCTGACTTAATGAAATTTGAAGGTTTAGAAGCTCCTTGTCTCTTGCTGACCAGGTTGTCAGCATCGAGAGGGATGAATTGATTCTTGAAGCTTTCAAGAAAATGAAGGATCATAAGATCGGTGGTCTTCCCGTGGTAGAGGGGCAAAATAAGAGAATTGTCGGAAATGTAAGCATTAGAGACATCAGATACTTGTTGCTGAAGCCCGAGCTTTTCTCCAATTTTAGGTAACATAGAAGACAGTTATGTATATGCAATGCTACAATATGCCCATTTGTTAGGAACTTGAGAAGTGTTGTAAGCCGTATTTAACTTTTGTCTTTTGTGCAGGAAACTTAGTGTGATGGATTTCATGAACGCAGTATCTCCAAAAACTAGAAATATCAAGAAGCCCATAACATGCAATCTTGATGCCTTACTGGGAGATGTGATCCACACTCTTGCTTCTCAGCGTGTGCATAGGATTTATGCTGTATGTAGTGAAGGAGAAGTAACTGGAGTCATTACACTGAGAGATGTGATTTCTTGCTTCATCTCAGAACCTCCTTACCATTTTGACGATTACTTAGGATTTGCTGTGGAAGAAATGTTGAGTCATCAGTGACTTTATATGAAAGTCTTGATACATGGAGACTTAGAGTGCTCGAAATGTAGCAAACTCTGTTGAAGTATCAGAGTAAATAATGCAATCAAATTTTTGCTTTCATATGTAATTCTCATGTCACTTTCTGTCCAGCTAAAATCACAAAGGTCATCCAAACCATTATCATTGATCATCCTCCTTTTCCTTTCCCCATCCCTAGATCTCCCCACCCCAGCATATATAAATTTTGAATTCGATCACAATAGGAACTGGCTATTTAAATCTAAAAGCTTGAGTGCCATTTTCCCCTGAGACAGCCATCTAACTTGTACCTTCAAACTCAAGGTAAAGCGTCCCTTGGCCACAGGCATGAGTTGCGTCATTGTTTAAACTTATGTGGTAAAACAATAAAATTTTCACTCTGATTAAAGCTGCAATAGATCTTGAGCTTCATCCAACCGATCAGATAGACCCAGAAGGTCAGCTATGCAACTTAGGCTTAGGCTTAGGCTGCAAGCTATAGCCTCTATTAATATCACTACTAGTGATTTTGCAATTATAGGCATGTCTGGTTTGGGCATATCAACGAACAATATGAGTATGTGGTGTAGGAGGGAAAACGTGCTTAAAGAGGATACAATTTTAATGAATAGATAGATAGGGATGAAGCATGTATGTTCCTTTGAGAGAGGAAAGGACCATGCTAGTTTCATTGCCCGTTGTTTCAGTCACAGATGCGGTAATAAATTATTACAAAACTAATTATATGAAAATAAAATGTGAAAAAGATTTAACATAGCATCTTTTCTTCAATAATATTCTAATTTCTAAGAATGAGAAGTGAATGGTGGGATTTATTTCTGAAATCTAAAGTTGCATGAGCATTTTTCCTCCTGACCAGTGAGATTAAACAAAAGCAGATTCCACAAGTATATATGGATAGTATGAAGAATCAATACACTCTGATGTAATTTGAAACTAAAGATCAAGAAAAGAGAAAGGATATATCCATTGACACGCTTGGATAGTTTTCAATGTCCTCCACAACTGTCCCAATATATGCCATATCTGGGGGGAACTTGTTTTATGCATATTCTATTATTCTATGTTAATCCATCACTTGCATAGCACAGAATGCACGTTTGGACTTTAGAAGTTCAAATAGATTTCTACTCAACCCATTTTTTAATAACACAAGGAGTAGGCTCCGTTGAGGGTAGGAGTATCTTTCTTCAAGTATCAAGAGCAAAAAGTAAAGATCTTCCCACTAAGTTGTTATATTTATTAAATTATAACTTGAATTCCCACCCATTTACTTACATGATGAAAGTTCCTAGCATCCATAATAATTTTAATCGAAAAACATTTTTACCAAATGCTTGTTTGGTTTGCTAAAGTTATCCATTTTGCAAGCTAATTTTTCCTCTCATGAAAATCACTTCTATTAATGTGTGCAATTAATAAGAACAATTTTTTAAAAAATTACAAATGTAAAAGATGGAAGAAATAAAAGTTTTACAATTAAGATATGATGAGTACTTTATATTTGTCATAATGTATATGTATATAAAGAACTAATATACAAGTCCTTTATATTTTTGTTTTTTCGGCCAAGTAGTTCTTTATATGTTCAATTCAATGTGGATAATATATAAAAGAGTCTCCATTTTATGAGAGCTCTGTGACTCTCTCTGCACCAGGTACATGAGAGTTGTGAGTTGTGAGTTGTGAGGGTGAGTGTGGTTAATTGGGGGTTCGAAGGTATGGTTCAGGTTGGTGTAGAGGTTTGATTGCTATTTGCTTGTATTGAGATGGAGACGGAAGGAGAAGATGGCTCGTTGAATGTGATCGATGAGCTGCTTGCATAGAGAGGGGAAGATATGAAGAAGACTTTGATTAGAAAATTGATTGCTGATAAGGATATGAATCAGCCTACCTTTGAGAATATGTTGAGGAAGGCTTAAAACCTAAAAGAGGGATTAGTGATTGTTGAGGTATTTGATAATGCTTTTTTGTTCAAATTTATTGAGGAAGAGGAATACAAGGGGATTTTGCGCGAACGACCATGGTCAATCAATGTCAAATTGTTGTGTGTTCAAGAATGGAGGAGGTATAGTGTGTTTGATGAGATTGATCTCAGCAAATGTCCATTTTGGATCCAACCGCATAATGTGGCGTTGGAAGCAATGCATGTGGAAAATGCTATCCAGATTGGAAACCGAGTAGGTGATATGGTTGTGACAGAGGATCCTCATCATGCAGACAGGCTGTTGCAGAGTTTTTTGTGTGTTAGAGGTTGCTGGATTTAAAGAAGCCTTTGGCGATTGGTTTTTGGATTCTTAAACCAAATGGCAATCAGGCATAATGTTTAATTAGATATGAGAAGTTGCAAAATCACTGCTTTAAATATGGAAGAGTAGGGCATGAGTCGCGTGTGTGTAGATATGTGATGTTAATGTCAATAGTTGATCCAACCGAACCAAGATATAAAGCTTGGTTGCTATGAGGATTACTAAAGAGGACTGGACGGAAAGCCTGTCAGGAAGAAGATGTAGAATAGAGGAGAAAGGAGGGAAGGAGGAGGATAAGGGCGTTGACAAAAGATGTGTTATTCAGGAGAGGTAGATGAAATGTTTGTTATCAATACTGATAAGAGAAAAAAGGATCAAGGAGTGATGGCGGGAAGGGGTCAGGGTATTTGGAAGAAACAGGAAGTTAATGGAGATTGGGCTGTGGAGGCTACCATGAAGAAATCCATTAAGTCTTGTGGGCCAATACTTGTTTATCATGACAGCTGATGTTCTCCCTGTAATGACCCAATATTACATGGAAGATGGTAAACTAAAAGGGATTAAATTCGATAATAAGTGTCTAGTTTTGTCTTATTATTTTTTTTACTGATAATGCTTTTTTTTGTAGATGTTAAAAGGCGCAACTATAAGGTATTAAAGAAGATTTTGAAGATATATTATAAAGCTTTTGGCCAAGCTATCAATTTTGATAAATCGTGTGTATTCTTCTTTAAGAATATCTTGGATGAGGTTAAAGAGAATATCTTAGATGAGGTTAAAGAGGGTGTTTTTGAAGAATACGATATTAAAACTAGTGAAAATCCAGGGAAATATTTAAGAATGCCTATTCTGTCGGGGCGTTCTAAAACTAGTGTTTTAAATTTTGTAAAGGACAAGTTGGCTGCTAGGTTGCAAGGGTGGAAGTAAAGGTTGTTAACCTTTGTAGGGAGAGAGATTCTTGTTAAAGCAATGGCAAATGCTATTCCCATATTTCCTATGTCTTGTTTTAAATTCCTTAAGAAAAGGGGTAAGGTGCTTGATAATATGGTTTCTAATTTCTGGTAGGGGCAGAAAGGAAGTGAAGGAAGAATTCATTAGGAAGCATATAAATCTATGAGTAAAGCTAAGTTTAATGAAGGTATGGAGTTTAGAGATTTTGAATGCTTTAATAAGGCTCTCTTAGCTAAGACAGCCTGAAGATTATTATAGAACCCTGATAAAGTGGTACAAAATTATAAAAGGGTTTTACTTTCTAAAATGTGACTTTTCAAAGGCCAAGAAAGGGGTATAATATCTTAGGGTTGGTCTAGCATTTTAGAAAGAAGGTCTTTTTTAGAAAAGGATTTATGTTGGTAGGTTAATTTGGGTAGTAAAATTTGCTTATTTAGTGATAAATGGATTCCACATTGCAAAGAATTTTTCCTTGAAATAAAGAATAGTTGGTGAAGATTGGAAGGATATGAAAGTCTATAATATTCTTTGTTACAGGCAATGAGATTGCAGTGCCATAAATGGGATTTTGACAATGAAGGATAAGGATCTTATTAAGAGAATTATAATTCTAGCAGTGGAGGGAAGGATACATGTATTTGGCTGGGAAATAAAGATGGTGATTATTATGTGAAGAAGGGCTATCATGTAGCCAGGGGTAGAGTTAAGAAGCAAAATATTCAAGTTGTTGATGGGTCTGTATCTATCTCGAATAAGTTATGGAAGGGGATTTAGAAGATTAAGATGTCACCGAAGATAAAACATTTTATTTAGAGAGTTGCTAATAACTCTTTTGCTATTAAAGATGCTTTATTTAAAAGAAAATGTGCAAGTAGACTTGTATGTGACATATGTAATGTTCAAGTTAAAACTATTGAGTACATGTTATTTTTGTGTCCTTAGGTTAAAGGATGTTGGTTTGGTTCCCCTTTAGCTTTAAAATTTGATGATACTGGTATGTGCAGATTTGATTTTGGTTTGATCATTGGTTGTTGAATAAAAAGCATGTTGAGGAATATGATGTTGCTTTGTTTGCCAGTATTTACTAGGAAACTTAGCAGGCTAGATGTGATTATGTGTCCGAGAAGGTGGAGATTGATGTCGTTCGATGTTTATCGAAAGCTATAAGGTTAGTTAATGAATTTTGGGAGTTAAGTGAGAAGGATAAGAAGGTGAGAATGCTTGAATGTAATGCTGATAGATTTGATGAGTGATCTTAACCCGAGTCAGATACTATGAAGGTAAATATTAATAGGGCTTTTTATAGCAAGAGCAAACAGGCTGTCGTTGGTTTGCTTGGGAGGAAATCAAGAGGTTAGTTTTTGGGCAGTGTGGGAAAGAAGGTGGAAGCTAATTCAGCTTTTATGGCAGAATGTATTTCTTTATTGGAAGCATTATTAATTAAAGATTTGTTTAGTAATAGTAAGGTAATTTTTGAGATAGATTGTCTTAATTTGTTTAGGAGAATGAAGGAGTTTGATTTAAAAAGTTGTGATTAAGAATGTTGTGATATTTTGCAAAAGTGCTTTGATCTTTGCAGGGCTGATGGTAATTGTTCTTTGTCTCTGGTGTCACATGGAGGAAATCATGTTGTAGATTTGATAGTAGCTTGGATTATGAAAGATATGGTTCCAGAAGTATTGCTTATTGAGCTAACATGCTCTCTGTGGGAAGTTCTATGCTTAGACTTATAAGGTAGAGGTTTTGGTATAGAAAAGAAGGAGGGCATTGGTTGATGGGCTTTTTTTTTATTGGTTTTGTTGTTTACTTTTGTTTTGTTTTTTCCTTATAGTTTGTACTGTAGGTTATACTGCTTTGGTTTATTTTCTTAAGTTGTATTATAGGTAGCTTTATTTTTTTCTTTACAAGGATATTAATATGTGTAATATGTTTTTTTGTGATTAATAAAATTGGCTTGTTTTGCTAAAAAAAATTTTTTACATGTTCTGATTGTGTTTATGTACGATGGTAGATCATTGAATATTAAACATGAATTTTAATGATTTTTTTGTGACTAGTTACATTCTCATCAATCCAATTTTATATTTGTAAAAAGTAAAGAGTATTTTGATAAAAAGATAATTTAATTATGGAGCATTTTCAATTTTAGACAGTTTTATAATTAATTCAAAATTGAAAAGTAAGTTCATCCTTTATTTTTTTAGGGTTAAATAAAAATTTGGACCCTAAATTTTAAGCTTAAGAGTGATTTAGACCTTAAACTCATATTTGGTATATTTTAAACCATGAATAATTAAATTTTAGGCAATCTCGCTTTCATAGTTAATTTCAAACTAACATCTGTCACTTTATACTTGGTAAGACCCATCATTTTTTGCTTTGACCTTAGTTGTGTCTCTCTTTCCCTTCTCCTTTTTCCCCCTTGTGTCTACTCTCTCTCTCATTCTCCTGCTTCTCCTTGAACTCGTGCTTGAGCAAAGAGGAGAAATAGTAGATGAACAAGAAGTAATGAAAGAATTGAATGAGAAGGAAACTAAGAACAACTAGTATACAAACTCGAGAGAGGTCAAGCTTAACAGATGGTCAAAATAGTCGATCCTTAAATCCTCCAAGACGAGCATGTTCTCAAAAGCATAGTTATCCTTGAAGGAGTTGTTATTATTTCTGGGCTTTATTAGAGATAATATGGTTGACTTCCTGTGCACGAAGGCTATGCCTTGTCTCACTGTTTGTTAAGGGTTTGTCCCATAATTTGTCAAGAGATTAGAACTTAGCTATCTCCATACGTTTGTTAAGGAGATTGGCTTAGGTATATGACATTCCAGAGATTTAAGAGTAGGGAAAGTTGTGATACCAGAGTAAGTACTGTGATTTTTAGCCAGGTTATACCTTACAATTAGTGAGCTTAGATAGTCCAATCATATGAATGAAACCCTGATTTAGTTCAATACTATATTTGAAGTGTTATATGTCCAGTAACAATATTAAGGAACGTGAGTTGTATGTCCAGTAACAATATTAAGGAACTTGACTTTGCATACAAGCAAGCTTTGAAGGAAGTTGTTGAATCATTTCATGCTATAAATTTGCATCATGAAACAAATCCATCTAGTCCTATTTATCATCTATCTAATTTGCACTGTTGTGATACTTCTTGGGTATTTGATAAAAAGGCTAAGAGAAATGAACATGGTAATCCTAATTTAGGGGTCGAAAGGGAGAAGAGTATTAAGGAAGTGGTAGCTCCTAATGTTACCATTAATCTATGCTATTCTTTCTTTTCCAATCAAGAATTTGGTTTTTCCATTAAGCCTTCCACTAAGCCTTCTTTACTTGCTAACGTTCCTAAATTCTATGGCTTGGCAGGTGAAGATCCTCATCGACTTCTTTAAGATATGTATATGGTCTATTTTTCAATGAAATCTCCTATTGCTAACATTGATTAAGTAATGTGGAGAATCTTTCCTTCCTCATTAGGATTGGCTAGGGATTGGTATACCATACAACCATCTCATATTACTTGCAATTCTTAAGATGACTTGAAAAGAGCATTTTTTGAGAGGTTCTTTCCAGCATCTAAAATAGTCACATTACGCAAGGGAATATATGGTGCACAACAATGATACAGTGAAACATTTTTTGAGTATTGGACAAGGTTTCAAAGGGTTCTTGCTAAAGTGTCTCATCATCAAATGAGTTAAGAACACATAGTACAATATTTTTATAAGAGTTTACTGTAAGTGATAAATCTAGCTTAGATTCTGCTACAAATGGTTCTTTGATTGATAAGAGTGCAACTTATGCTTGGGAATTGATCAACAAGATGGCAACCAACCAACCTACAACATCACAATAATGAAAGAGAGGTGAAAGGATTGCATGAAATACCATCTTCACTTGAGAAAAATGTTGAAAAGTTGCAGTCTCAAATGGCTCATATTTTGCAATAAATATCTGCTCTACAAAACTCCTCTCAAGTGAGCAACATTGCTATGTCTCATGCTATATTTGCTCCATCTTGCCATCATTGTTAGTCTCAACTTCATATTTCTAACTCTTACCTAAATAAGTATGATCATGTGGATGTTTCAGCTATGAATTATCAAAGGCCTCTTGAATTTTCTTCTCAAAGGTATGATCCACATTTAAATACTTATAACGTAGGGTGGGGGTTCATCCTAACTTCAAATATGGACTAACCAACCAAAATTTTATGGGAAGGACTCAAGGACACATGAGTACTTATACTCAAGGGGATTCTTCTTCATCATCCAATCAAGTTGTACCTATTCAAGATGATTCTTCAAATAGCAAGCTAGATCAACTTTTAAGGATTGTCACTATGCAAAACACTACTACAAATAACCAAATGACTGCTCTAGGGAATGAGATTGGTCTAGTGAATTCTCAAATGGCAAATTTGATGAAAAGGCTTGAGCAAATGGAAATCAGGTAAGGGAATATCAATACTTATGTTCAATAATTGACAAATGCCTAAAGTGCCAACCAAGCTCAAAATAGTGGCAAGCTATCTACACAACCATGGATCAACCCTATGAGTTTGAATGCTATTGCATTGAGTGTTGGAAGAGTCTGGGCCAAGGGAAAAACAAGGAGGGGTGAATCATTCTCAAAGCCCTAACGTGGCTTCTTCACCTTCTCTTCCTATTGAGATTGATGATGAAAACAAGTAAGAGGATGAACACCTTTATTTTTTTAATCCATTCCATTTTTTTTAGTAAACAAATACCTCAACAATCTTACACCAAATGCATACAATTCAAACTAATATGTAAGTGCAATTATAGAATCAGCTGTAGAATGTATTGCCCTTATGAGCTTAGTCCTGATCCTACAGATGTACGTTGAGTTATGGTATTTTTCTTAATATTTAGGTTTTCTGCCTCCGCTTGTAATAAAAATAAAATAAAATGGGAAGTGTGAAATGGGGAAGCTGATGGCTTGGGGCGTAAGCTGTTGCAAGTGCAAGTTGCCAGGAAAAGCCAAACCGAAGTTAGCAAGTCGGGAGAGAGGAGAGAGGGTGTGTGTGTGTGACAATTTGGGATTTGGGACCTCTGGCCCCAAAGAAAGATATATCCATATAATATAACAACTCGAGAATTTCTCTCTGATGAGCCGATCACCATGGATGCATTCCTCTGATAATAAATTCCCCTTCTAAGCTCATCGTCTTCTGGGCTCTGCACAAACTATTCGAAAGCTTCCAACTTTCCTATCCTCTCCGCGTTGCTCATCCTCAGCTGGGTCTGGAACTCGCCGCCTTCACTCACTACTTGTTAGGATTCTTTCTCTGGCTTTCTGCCCCTTCGTTTTTATTCGTTTTTTCCTTGCGGTGAACCTTTCTTATATGCAATTAATTCATACCCAATGACCTTGGACTTTGATTTGAAAAGCCCTAAATAGAATTGGCCGCCCGATGCATAGGATGGTCTTGCATCTTGCTAATCTTGTGCAGTAATGTTATCGGAGGAACGTTGTAATAGCTGATCTACACCGTTTCCTGAATTCTGGGTTGGGTTTCTTTTTTATTTCTTGTAAAAAGAAACACAAACAGTAAATGTGTTTTTAACGGCCCTTGCTGTTGCTGTCGGGGCTACAGACGCTTCGAAATAGCTTAACCCACCTTGGTTGTTCGAGTTTATGAGTGAAATGGAGCCAGCATCTAAGTTACTGATGTAGAGATGGAGAACTTTCCGCCTGTTGAATGTACTTCGCTTTTAGGGAGTGGTTTTTAATTGTTGTTGTTTTGAAAGATCCTGCGGATAACTCATGATTCACTTTATGCTTGTTAATCTTTGTCTTAGATCAGTTTAACTAATCCCCCTCTCATTTCTCTGTCTTCTAAATCCGTTCTTGATGGGTTTGTCTGTTACTGATTGCTGAATCTTGTCTTGTTCTCAATTGAACTATAGGTGGTGAGAATGTCAACTCCTGCGAGGAAGAGATTGATGAGAGATTTTAAAAGATTGCAGCAAGACCCTCCTGCGGGCATCAGTGGTGCTCCCCAGGACAATAATATTATGCTTTGGAATGCAGTTATATTTGGGTATGATACTAAATAAAAAGATGTAAAATTACCTTCTCTATCCTAAGTGCAGGCGTGGCTTTATTTTCTTGGTTTTAGATGAGTAGATATATGTCAAGCATCCTATGTCCTATTCCTAACTATGCTTCTTTTGGTGGTTTTCCAGGCCAGATGACACCCCGTGGGATGGAGGTACAGTTATATCTTCTACCTTGTTTCAGTGATGGGATTTATTGACTTTTTGAAGGTTCATTTGAAAATTTCACCACATATGTTTAATGCAATTGACAAGTAGTTCCCCTCAACACTCAATTGTTCATGATTTGAAAACATTTGGCTTTTTGCTATTGGGGCTTAATTTAAGCCAAATTAATCACGTAATTTTTGAGGAAGGGATGCAGGTATTAGGCCTCCACAATTTGCATTTTTTTTTTCATATTTTATTATACATATGATCATTTTGAATTACTGCATGTATAACTGACTCGTACACTTATAAATTGTATCCACACATAATTTTTGGACTTTAAAGGGCGTGATAAAAAATTTTCACTGCATGCATCGTTTTGAACCTGTTGTTTAAACATCTCATCAAATATTTACTTTTTGATGGCCAATAACCTCATAATTTTTTTGCTTTTAGCTAGTTAATCCTGCACAAAAACCATAAATAGGATAACACCAACATGTTGACAAAGGATTACTTTCTGGAATACTTGCACAATGACAGTAAAATCTAAGATACAAACAAAATAACACACAGATGTTAGAGCAAATCAATGTTGTTAAAGCAGCCCACCTCAGCGCCTAAGGCACAAAGGCAATGCGCTGAATAGGGTCATTGCCTCTTGTGTGAAGAGGGGCAATGGGGTTAGTCAAGTGCTTGCCTGGGAGCACCTTGTGTGTCTTGCACAAGCAGAAGGTGCTCACCTGAGGGTGCTTGATTGAAGCGGGTTAAAGAACAGAAGATGAGCAGACGGTGATCGACTGTTGTGCATTGAAGAAGAGAGAAGACAACCGATTAGGATTGGGTATTGAAGAAGAGAAGATGAAAGCCAACTAGGATTGGGTTTTGAGGAAGAGAAGACAAGGACAACACTGACTCGACAGCTATAGAGTAGAGTATTGAAGAAGACAATTGGTTTGCTTTTTTTTTTTTAACAAATAACCTATTAAAAGATGATATATAATGAGGAAGGTTTTATGATATAAAAAAATATGGAAACTTATATGATATAAAAAGGAAATATTTAAATTTAAAATAAGAGAGGACAGTTACATGATAGAAAAGATTTAAATTTATTACAAGATATTACAATTACATAATGGAAACTTATATTGTTTTGTAATAGTTTATGATTTGATGATTGCTACTTTTATCTATATTTTCTTCATGGTACGATTTTCAGAGTATTTATATGAAGGTCAAGTAAATTTGCATTTATCATTTTATTTATGATTTGTTGTCAATACATTATGCATTTTCACATGATAGTGCCTTGCTTCACTCTTGGGCACACCTTTCTAGCACCTTGCACCTATGGCATTTTACAGGCCTTGTACCTTTTGCCTTTAACAACAATGGAGCAAATTACTTCCAGCTTCCTGGAGGCTTTTTAATATTACTCAAATGGTTGATGTCAGAGGTTTAGATTGTTTAGTTATGCACACAAGTAATTGATGCAGTCAAAATTAGTCTTATGCCCAGTTGACTATATTAAATAGATTTTGTTTTTGTATTATATATTTTTCACCATATGCATGTCTTACAACAAGAAGAAGAAGCATGTCTTAGTGCTAGGAATTTTTAGGAAAGTAAGGGATCCTTAAGTTTGTTGATCTCATGTCTGAACCTGTCTTTAGAACAGTTCAAGATGTGTCATGCGTACATGAGTTCAGCAGGAGCTGTATTGCCTGGGGTCAAGGTTTAGCTGAAAGTTTCTGTTTGCTGTTCCCATTGTCACAAATGGGGGATGCATGTTTAATGTTGATTAATTTCATGTGTAAAATTTCTTGTGTGATTATGACCTATAAATTCCATTTGTTTGCCTAACTTGTGTCCTATCTCATTCCTGTCTTTCAGGCACGTTTAAATTGACACTTCAGTTCTCAGAAGATTATCCCAATAAACCTCCCATAGTACGCTTTGTTTCTCGCATGTTCCATCCAAACAGTAAGTTGAAAACTAGAGCTTGCTTTCCTTTTATTCATTCTGAGCCAAAATTTGTTTATGAAGTTCTGTTGGTTAGTATCACATTCAGTAATTTCCAGTTCTAAGGCCCCCGTCTCTGGCTCTTTTTAGTTTACGCGGATGGGAGCATATGTTTGGATATTTTACAGAACCAGTGGAGCCCAATTTATGATGTGGCTGCAATACTTACTTCAATCCAGGTAAATGTAATTCACTTAATAGGAGATGCTCCAAGACAATCAATGCCGAAAATCTTATGATTGTGCTTGATTTCAAGCTTTTCTATCTCATTCTTATTTCCCTTGTGTGTGTGGTATAAATGTTGAGAATAAGATACTCAATTAGAGGGGAGAAAAGAAAAAAAATGATCGCATAAATGATTCTCCTATGATGCAACATGTTGTATGACACCTCGTTCACATTTCCAAGTACTTGCTACCTATTTCCAAAAAAAGAGCATGATATAGGGTCAGAAGCCAATATCCCTGTGTTGTATAGGACATATACAACACAAATTTGATTTTTCCAATAATATCATACCTTAAGATGCTATAACTTGGTGTCCGAATTTTAAGAAGAGCAAATCCTTCACATATTAAATACAACCTTACAATCAAGGTTGTGAGACCTTCTATGACTTTAGTTGTGCCTTCATTTGTATTAGCTTGAATTTTGAAGTAAACATTGACAATCTCATTTAGTGTCAAGCTCAAAATAGTTGTCATTAGTTAGTAGATTCCCGTGCTAGCTTCATATCCGCGTCTCTTCCACACCATTTTCCATGTTGTGATTTGAAGCAATCATTTACCATTCTCTTTTTAATTTATGCTATCTGTTATTAAGAGCATGAAGAATGCAAACTTTTACATGATTCTACCGTAATAATCCAATTACCCTTATTTTGTCCAGTTCTCATGCTTTGCTTCTGATTCTGCCTCGTGCCTAGTAGTTGCTCTGAGCACCTCCATACATCTTTGTGATTTCAAATATGGCATATACTCTGACCTACTTATGCTGACATTGCCACTTTCAATTAACATGCAACTAGCTTTCATTTTTCTTGTTCGAGTCTGCTAGTCCCTTCTGTTATAGGTGTGATAAAGTTCATGCCTACCCTCCCCTTGTTTCATCTCCTTACACAATATGAGAAGACATTTTTGTTGCTGAAGGCTGAAGTCGTCAAGCATCGTTGTATTTACTTGACTGGCTTTTGGGGCAAGTGCTCTGAAAGCTGATTTGGAAGTAATGGAACCGCTTAATTTATAAGCTCTGAGGAAAAGTATTGTTACTGATGGCATCTAGAACGGAAATCTTGCCGTCTTAAAAATTTCCCATTTTCTGCTATAAAGCTTTGTGAGAGCTATCGGTACTCATCATGTGCGTCACAACTTATATTTTGCTCTCTCAATGTTCCAAGATTTCTGATGCATCTTAATGGAAAGTAATTAGTTGTTTTGTCTGTTCTCTGCATTCTTCTTGTTTGTCTCATGTAATGGCCTTGTTGCAGTCGTTGCTATGTGACCCAAACCCAAACTCTCCAGCAAATTCAGAGGCGGCTCGGATGTTTAGTGAAAACAAGCGTGATTACAACAGAAAAGTGCGTGAGATTGTTGAGCAGAGTTGGACTGCTGATTGAATGATCCCGACTCCAAGGCTTGTATGGCATTTAAATGGTTGTCAGAGGATCTGAAAGATCTGACTGAATAACAGAGACTTAAAAAAAGAATTATTGTGTTTTGTAAACCCTGGTTTCTGATCACTCTGTGTTTGCTCAAAACTTATCATGAATTGTTGTTCCATTCATAATCTCAATATCTAGGCACTGTGTTTCCTTATACGGCTCATATGTTTCATTGTAGCACTTCTAAGTTATTACATGCGATAAGATTTATTGGACAATTATCAGCGAGAGCTTGCTACCAAGAGTCAAACAGAGAAATTACAATTTCCAGATAATAAAATATGAAGCATGTTTCCCTGAACGATAAACATTTGATAGGCACCTAAACAGTAATGTTTGAAGAATGTCATCTTTAATGACATTGCAGAAGTTATTATATATTGACACTCGAATTAATTCTTTATTATTAATGTGCTATGTGAACCTTGAGCAGAAATTTACTTTGAATTGGAGTGTTCTAAAATCTGGTACCAAGTCCCAGATTTCCGCTGCTGCTCCAGTTCTCTTGGACCTGAATTGCGTACTGCAAATTCCAGAGAACATCTTCTATTGAAGGGCGCATGCTAGAAACTTCACTGAGGCAGCTGATGGTAATCTGAACTGTGGTTCTCATTGAATCGTACGCATAACTTCCCCTGATTGTGGGATCCGTTACTCCTCTTAGTACTGATGCTGCTTCGGATATACTTCTCTCTAGCTGAAAATTATCAGATTGAAAATATGAACATTTCAGATAAGCAGATCTTCAAAATTTAGTTGGCACTTACATTCAGGGATATCTGACGAGATTTTCAAATTAAAATAATAAATAAATTAATCTTATGAAGGTTTTTCTGTTACTGATATCCCATACTAGTTCATATATCTTTTTTGAATTTAACGATGGACCTAAGTTTTTTTTTTTTTTTTCCCCTGACATACCTCATCTTTCAGCTCCTCCACTTCATTGACAGAAGAAATTGATTTGCCAGTGATAACTTCCAGTAGAATGACACCAAACTGATATATATCTTCCTTTTCCGCGGTGTTGTCAGTGCTGCGAGAGTAGATAAAACCAAATTATACTTTGGATTGTTCGGTGGGGTAGAAACAGAAAGGGAAAAAAGGGGTAAAAGGAAAGACCTTGATAAGCAGAAATCTACCTGTCAATATGATTGAATAACAATGGAATGTTATATCCACTCACTTTTGCACCGAGACTATCATCCAAAAGAATTTTCTCAATCTTTATTTTATTGCCAAATATACCAGGAACAATTCCTGTGTGTAAAAACTGGATCCCTCTTGCAATTCCTATGGTGATCGCCATTCTTTGTGGCCATTTCAGCACTTCCTTCTTTCTCCAATCTGCAATTAAATGAAATTCATATCACATTTTTCTTTCCTGGCTTTAACTTTGAACTATGGATATGGATGCTCCATAACTTGTGTGTGATATCTTACCTGTTAAATGATCCCTCAATGACCCATTTGAGAAGTGTTCATAAACAAGGAAGAGTGTGGTTGCTGTCTGCTGATGGTCCTGAGAGGCTATTAGGCAGTGTCCAATAACACTCACCAAATGCCTATGCCTCAAATTGGACAACACGTCAATGTGGTTTTGGGTCACATTATTGTGCATTAGCTTTACACAGTTAATCAGGACCACAGATCCATCTCTGATCCATCCTTTATATTGCTGAATAAATGCACAAGTAAATACCATCACAAGTTGGTCTTGGTGGGTCCTAACTCATCTAACGGTTCATCTTATTATTCTTTACCTGTCCCTCTGATCCTTCTCCTATCAGATTTGATGGGTCAAAATTGTTTGTTGCCTCCTCTATTTCCTCTAATGTGAAGATTCTGTATGGTTGAAGTCCAATTGCTACCAGCCTCATAGTCTGCGGAACGCGTCCTATTCCCAATAAAAAAATAAAACCACGTTACTGCAGCCATGAAGTCCATGTTTGGTTTCACATTATAAATCACCAAAACCACGTTTTGGTGGAAGCAGCACTACATGCGACCAACACACCTTTAAACACGAATACACAACAGGAAATTGGAAAAGTCATGTCTGAAACTGAGTGCGGACACAATTCATCACGAGTAAATCAGATTAAAAAAGGAAGGGGAAAAAAAACCATAAAAATGGGGCTTACTTGTATCAGTGTTTGGTCTCAGGGATGCATGAACAGAGGATTTATCAGCAACAGATCTGTCTACATGATTGTCAATTCTTTCTGCTTTGGTCTTCCTCAAGATGAGAAGAATGACCAGAGCTAGAAGCGCTGAAATTCCGACAGACCCTCCAATTATACCAAGTATTAACCCTATTCTCATGTCTGAGTTCCACTTGTTTCCTTCAAGAGGCTTAGCAGCTAAAGCTTCTTCTTTCTTGCAATATGAAGTTGGGTGTTGATCTTTCGAGCCTCTCATGGACAAGCAATTCCCGGAATACAAAGCCGTGCGATTTGAGGACTTTGACGTTGATCCGATGCAGGATGGCAAATTTCCCACCAAGAGATTGTTTGAGATATCCACAAAGGTCAGAGAAGAGCCACAGCTAATTTTCATTGAAAGTGAACCGCTTAGTTTGTTTTCTGCCAGGTTCAGATACTGAATGGAATGCAGAGAGAACAGAGAAGATGGGATGTTTCCAGAAACTTCATTGGAAGAAATATCAAGTTTTTGAAGCTTGTCAAAATGATTAAACTCCGAAGGAATTTTAGAACTCAGAGAATTGTTTCTCAACACTAAACTTACAAGACTGTTGCCTAATGAAGGGAACTCAAGACCCAGTTTATTGTTTCCCAGATTGAGTTCTTCAAGAGAAGTCAATCTTTTAAGATCTGGGACAGTCCCATTGAACAAATTATCATCCAAGACCAGACTCCTGAGACTTTTCATGGAAGAGATTGACGGTGGGATCTCCCCATGAATGGAATTTGAGCTCAAGTTCAGAACTTGAAGAGACCAGAACCTGCTGATCTTGGCAGGTAAAGGACCCCACAAACCCAGGGACACTATTGAAAGTACCTTCAAATTTGAAAGCTTTGTCAAGACAGTGAAGAAAGAATCAATGGAAAATCTTTCAGAAAGAGTTTGAAGGGAATTAGAAGTTTTGTTTCCAACGATTGTTAGTTCTATTACATGACTGTTATAGCAGACAATCTGGAGAGAAGGTGAAGAAGGAAGATAACAGAAGTTGGTCCACTTGTTCCATCCTTGAAGAACCTGAGGATATTCAAGAATTTTCTGAACTTGAAAGAGAATTCTACTCTCACTTGGTGTCAGCTGTGCAGTTGAAATGTGAGTAAGCAAAACGAGAAAAATTGCAGAGAGCAGATAAAGGAAAAAAACCCGGAAAATTTTCATATTCTGAAACCAAAAATCTGCATGAAATAATTACGAATGGTAGGTCACTGGGTTTCTTCTTTCATTGAATAACGAGAACACAGGTTTCAGCAAGGTAAGAAAATGGAGAGAGGACCCAAAAGAGAATGTGAGATCTGATAAGAGTTAGATTTGTCTAAAGAAGAATGGTGCTAAGGAAGCATGAAAGAACTGGCACGCTGGTGGAGCCTGTTGCGCATGACGAGTATAAAGACAATAAGAGAAACGCAGATCAGACGCCACAGAAACTACCAAATTAAATAGACGCCAGCTTTTCCTGGGAAAATCTTATGTCCAAGACATAAATAAAAATGGGTGCGTGCAGAAGTATTTTCATGAATATGTATGTATATACATTATATACATTCGATGCGTGTGTATGGGAAAGATCTAAAATATTAATTGGGTGCACATTTAATGCAATAAGAATTTTCAGGTTTTGAATATTTTTATACTGCCACACTAACCGAGAAATAGATGTGCCAGTTGTCCAAAGTCAACAAAGCTCTGAAATCGGAGTTGCAAGGTGCTGCAACCAAAGTGTTGACCTCGATCAGCAAGAAAATGTGCTTGTATTTTTTTTACTGTGCATTGATGTTCTAATAATCATATTCAAAGCACGTCATGTATTAAATGTGACATCCTTTTAATTTGTTACATTGTGAAAGACTAATATTTTTTATTAAATTTAATTTCATTGATATAATTACATTATTCTTTTAGTATAATTAATTTTTTCTATAAATTTATTGAATTTCATCAAGTCATATATGAAATGTGTCCCTACTTATATGTTTATGTGGATTTAAACATTTGGTTATCATACTTGATTGAAAAGCTATTGTGCATTGGATTATAATTGAATACTTCTAAATCAAAATATGTGCTAGAAGGAATATATGTGTTTGCTGTTCATATGCCAACCCAAGCCCCACAAACCCCAAGACACATGCCGTTGGCAACATACTTGAGGTGAATAAATACCAAGTGACACTTTAAAAAACTCCCGGTGAACAATGGGTGGAATCATTTACCCCACCTAACAGGATAAGGTGCCTGTTTGGTTTGTCACAGAATCAATTTTGTTGGGAGTAAATCAATTTTTAAAGGCAAATTACCAAATAGCAACATAATGAGATAATTGATTTTTTGGGTTTGAATCGATTTTTTTGTTAAGCTACATCTGTTAGCTTCTGCGTTCGTTCGAATGAGAGAGAATAAAAAAAATGCAAAATTTACAAGAAAGGCCCAGGAAATTCTGATAAAGAGCATGTTGCAAAAATTATAAAGGCTCAAGAAAAAATAATAAGAAAAGCACGAAATCTGTTGTATTGCTACATCTTTTATATTATTAAAATTTTAAGACAATGCTTAACATTTTTCTTAGATATGACTTATGTCCGTGATGTCATTAAAAATTAACTTATATATTATCATCTTCATTAATTATTATAAAATTAATATTTATTATTTAAAAATAAATATTTTTATTTTATTAAATTTATTTGAACTAAGATATATTAAGTTATTTATTTACGTAAATTAAATTATTAATATTAATTTAAAAAAATAGTATTCAAATAAATTATGTTATAAAATAATCAATTATAACTAAAATTAATTTTATTAATTAATTATTTTTATAATTAATTATACTCAATTGAAATCCAAACAGGCTTAAGGTGTGTTTGGATGCAGTAAAATAATCTATTTTGACGCTAAAAAATAATTTCATAAAAATATATTTAAACATTTTATTCAGTGTTAAAATTAATTATGAACTTAAAATTATGATTTTCTTAAAATTTGTCTTTTAAAGCAACATGAATTGCTATTTTTTTAATTATACCCTTATTTCCACTAATTTTAAAAGTTTAAGACAATATTAATTACTAATACTGTACTAAATTAGAGGTATAATAAGAAATTTATTTTAAAAAATATAGCTTACTACTAATTATAATTTCTTGATTGGCATAAAATAAATTTACGAAAATAATTCTTCTTCGTTGTTGTATTTATTTCTACAAAATGAAGTGCAGTTTTGCATCGCCCATCATTAATTAATATTTAACAATATTATATTATAGTGAGAATCTCATCTAGGGCACCGTGGGAAAAAAACTGCATTTAAAACTCAATCCATTCTAAAATTATTCTGCAAGCCTGGGTCTTTTTATAAATATATTTTAGCTTCACATGTTAACAATTAATTATTCCCTGAAAGTAAAATTCTTATTTAGAGTTGACTTGTTTCTCTTGACCAGCTTAATAAATTTATAATTTAAAATTTAAATACTTATAAATATAGGTTCATCTATCCACAAGTCAAAATTCAAAATTTATGACTTTACATATTTAAAACTAAAATTCATTGTGACAGCACATTTAGATATTTACAACTATATGTTCACTAAGTCACACCTTTAGGTCTACATATTAATAGTTAATTATCTATTGGCAAGTAAATTCTTATTTAAGGTTGGCAAGTTTATCTTGACTAATTTAATAAATGTATAACTTAACGTTCAAATATTTATAAGTACAAGTTTATTTACTCACAAGTCAAATTACATAATGTATTACTTTACATATTCGGAACTAAAATTTATTATGACGGTAGGTTTAAATTTTTATAATTAGATGTTCATAAATTTACAACTTTATATTTACATATTAATAAATAATTGTTCATTAGTAGTAAACTTAAAGTTCTTTATTTTTTACCAAGGGCACTTATATCTTTTCTCCCCAAAACATTTGCAAAAAAAAAAAAAAATTTTAGTCCTGCAAAATAATTTTAGAATGTATTGTACCTTATGTACAATTTTTTCTCCCTTAGAGGTCCCAATGAGATTCTTCCTATATCATAGCATCTAGCTAAGTTGGTAGCTGGTATATAATCTGTTATGTTTGAGTAATATTGGTAATTTAGGTATAATTTATTAAAGTTTAGGAGAAAACTTGTATACTAAATTTTATATTCTTAAAGTACTTATTTTTAATTAAATCAAGACATATGTATTATTTATTTATTATTTCTTTCATAATAAATCCTTATTATTAAAATTTTTAATATATTAAAATTCACTTATTTTAATTTAGTTGAATAAAACTAATTATCTAAGCCTTGCACTAAAATTTATATTTGGTAGCAGACAAGAACAGAGATAAAACGTAAGATGAATAAAATCTATTATTATCCTTATCACCAATATTAATGTAAAGTATATTTTATCAGTCACTTTTTTTTATAAGTCATAAACGCTATAGTTTATCTCAGATTTCTCGCAATACATGAAAAAACATGTACAGTTTTTATACAAAAAAATTACTTCAAAAAGTATCATGAATTCATTTCTTTAAAAAAATTTGTATGGACAAATGCATCACCTCATTTGTATATTATTCAATAAAAACATAACATGTTAAATTATTATAAATATAAATTAATTATGTCATTAATAAGGGTAGAGAGAGAAAATACAAAAAATTAAATAGGTATTGTATTTTAAAAATAAAATCATTAAAAATAATGACATAAAATTTTATTTGGTTGAGTTGATTTAATTTTATTAAATAGCATATAAATGACGTGATATTTGTGATGATCCAGACAAGAATTTCTCTACATTATTGAATGTAAGCTCGTGTAAGTTCCCCAAACATAAGGGCAATGTGTGAATATACAGGACCACCTTAATAATTACTTTTAATATTATTTTATTGCATTAGTATTAAATAATTATCATGATGATCAATTTGATGATTAAAATTTCATTTTTATCAATTTAAAAAAAAATTAAATTGAGCGCCCTTCATGTCCTTTCATGATTCTTTGTAAAATATATTAAATGTTTAAATGGAGAAATCAAGTCTCTGCGTTTTAGCCCTTTGGGAAGATAAAGAAAGCGGATGATGCTTACGACAGCCAATGACAATTAATTTTAGTGAGCAAACGACAACATTTCCTTCAACGCTTTGCTGGGAGATTGATCCCTAGATTTAGTAACGTCCAGATTTTAGCATGTCGTTTTGTCGCAAATGGGTTAGTGTAACCTTCACAAAATAATAGTAATAACTAATGGGGCTTACTTTTTTATTTTATTTGATTTGATGGTGATGGAGAATTGATTTTCTTTTTTTGACCAATAATGGAGAATTGATTTTCAGGTTATTGATTAGGGAAGATAATGATTTGGACATGGAGAAGCATAATGTTCATATATGAAATTTTCCGGGCCCGGCCACATAATTACATCTAACAAATTATTAAAAAATATCAAGTTGGATTCCGGCCTAATATATTTGTTGTTGATTTTTATATATTTTTCAGTATCTTATTTTATTTTTTAGACTAAAAAGCTCTAATTTTATTTAAAATTTTAATTTAATCCTTTAATTTTATAAAATATTTTTTCACTCATCTAATCCTAATAACGTTATTTTTAAATAATTATTTTTTTATCAATTATTATTATTATTTAAAAAAATTAAATTTAATATGTCAATATTTAAAGTAAGCTTCTTTTTCTTTTTAATGAAATTAACAGTATTAGGATTAAAAGATAAAAAAGATACTTTATAAAATTAAAGAGTTAAAATAAATTCTCTTGTAAAATTAAAAGACTAATAGTATACCTTAGTTTTTTTTTTTAACTAAATCATCAATGATTCTAAACATTATCTTGTTTTAAATTTTTTTCCCAACTTGTTTTAAATATTTTCCAACAAACAGGCACTAGTGTATTATTTTCACTTGTAATTCCTTTGTGGTCCAGACTTAAAAGAATTATGATTAATATTTTATATAATATCAATTACTTCTTTCGTTTCAAATTATAAGACGTTTTTAAATAAAATTTTACATATCAATAAACCTCATTAAATATACTTAACAATCTTATTTCTTCAAAATAAAAATATAAACTTTTAAAAATACTCTTCATTTAATATATTAAAAAGAGAAAAGATAAAAATTAATTATAAAGATAAATGTAATATTAAAATTGCTGCATTTAATAAAATTTTAATCTATGCAAAGTATCTTATATTTTGGGACGTAAAACTCTTTCAAAAATGCCTTATAATTTAGAATAGAGGTAGTATAAGAATTCTAAAAGGTCTAAAATAACAAAATACAAAGCCTTAAATAGACAAGAGAAAATGACAATTAAGGACTCCCATAAGAATATTAATGACAATTATACATCCTCAATTATTTAAATCTCAATAGCAGACCATGGTTCTTATCTATAATAAATTATCTTTTGTTAATTGATTTGAAATTCACAATGAAATTTTATAAATTATC